GGAATATATAATGCTCAATGATGAGATGCTTTTCCAGTTCAAACATTTTTTTCTATTATATAATAATTATAATAATAATTTATACGAGATATTTTCCAGGTTTAGAAATGTTTATGTGAGTAATAATTTTATAATGTCATTATATATTTTAAAGGATAATATTAATACGTAAAGTAAATTGCTATTCTTTATTCTTTTCATCACACCTAATTTTGTTTGGTGAATGAACTTGTAGTCATGTATGTTTACGAGATACATAATAAATATTGTTTTCGCAATAACACGCAAACCACACAAGAAGAACCCCATACGAAATTCATCAAATGTGCGATAAGCTGGACCTAAAAAATATTGGCAACGTGATCGTACTTGTATTGTTAAATATCTCGAATTTTATATCTTCAAAATTGCCATAAATATAGCAGAACTTCCGGCCCATGCCAAAAGTAATCTTTCGTGAAGAACCCAAAACGAAATTCATCAAATGTACACAACCAACCGTATACTTTCTTACTCGGACAGTTCTTAATTAGCTCGAACTGAGAAGAAAAGCTTCGGTGGTATGAATTCCTTATTATCCATCAAAATGGGAAGAAAAAAAATAATTGGTTGTGAAATATATATAAAAGAAGAAGAAGAAATTGCCAGATGCGGATTTATGATCCCCGAATGCACGAGACATTTCGAGTAAGTAAAGGGAATCTAGTTGACAACATCAAGAACAAGCTTTCGAGACTTGAGAACGGACCACCTCAATCGCCTGTAATAACCAGCCTGAAGAAGCGCCAGTGATAGGACAAGTATCCACTTGAATCCCATCTGTGGTTTTGCATTTAGTACGCCAACATGTCAAACGATGGCGGAAAAAAATAAAAATAAAATAATTTGTGCTGTATTAGTTAACGTCTTACCAGTTTTCTCTCTTCCATTTCGGGCTCTGCAGCCCAGGATAAAAATGACACCACGTCTTTTCCCATCTAGAGGACACATGGCGGATAAAAGATGAGATTTGATGACGAGACTTTTGCACTTTGTAGAAATGCCCAAAATACACGTATTGCTAAAAAACGAATTGTTAAGATGAAAAAGTAAATTTACCTGAGCTTCAGTTGCTGGTGTGCCGTCTTCATATTCGACAGCACCATCGTTAAGCATTTTAGGCATGGCAATCGCTCCACCAGGGAAATAAGGGTTATAATGCAGTCCTTCACGAATCTACAAGGAGGGGAAATACATTCCCTGGTTATCAAACCAAGAAATAACGTCGAATTTCTACTTAAAAGAACAGGAAACTTTATTACAGAATTTATCACTAAGGCGAATAAAAGTTCCATTATGAATTGGAAGCATGGTTAAAGCCTAAAGGTATCAAGGTCAAAAGTCAAAACAACTGTTTTAATATTTTCTTAAAAATGACGAAAACTTAAAAGTTCCAAAATAATATCGAAGTTGTTTACAGAAGAACTTACTGAAACACCAGCAGGAGGATCACGGTATCCAGTCAGAAGGGCAAAAGCATAATTTTGACCATTGTGACGAGCCTTAAAAGGAAAAAAAGGAAAAAAATTAGTTGAGACATACAGATAAAAATTCCAAAGAAAGAAATGGATGGAAAATTAGGAAATACTTTGGTAATAAGACTTAAATCAGGAGGATAGGCTCCCCCGTTAGCAAACCTAGCTGCTTGTTCATTTGAATATGGCTGAGGAAAACGATCGCTCAGTTTACCAGGACGAGTAAACATCTCTCCTTCATCATTTGGCCCGTCAACTACCTCAATCTCAGCTGCCATAGCCTTAGTTTCCTCCTCTGTATACGCCACACCAACCAAGTCACGGTACGAAACTAACGACATGGAATGGCATGATGCACACACTTGTTGATAGACCTGGTGACCACGGCGTACACTGTTCAATAGTGAACAAGACAAGTTAATACAAAAGTAGTGAAGGAGTACTATAGTTCTTCAATTTTTGATAAACAAAATCGGAGTGTTATGTTTTGTCCTCACATTACATAATAAACAAGAATATCTGTGCATTTAAATGCAGAGAAAGATATAAATCAAATCAGAAGAACACGAACCATAATATTGCTAGAAACATAAAAACAATCCTCTTATTATTGATATGTTGCTAAAACTAATTAAAAATTTCCATCTTAAAAATATAAAACTTTCAAAGAGAAGCATGTAAAACTTTAGATACTGCCAAATCTACTATAATGTTACTGTAAACTGTTCAGTAATATCTACGATAAACATTTTTAAATATGTTCCTAATCCGAAACTGGAAGCACGTACGACAAATGCATTACTTTCTATAATCATTATGCAGGGGTTTCTTCATTTTTGGTTTTCAATTTTCACTCTTGTTTGGTAGACACAGGTGAGTTAGACCAGATATTCATTTTTCCTATTGTTTGGGTGTGGATACTATCAAAACTTTTTTTTACTTTCAATGAAATAATATAAAGGTCCAATATATGCTCAATGAGGAAAAGAGTATTGAGTTATTTAAAATGTGGAGATTACAGGAAGATGGTAAGACACAGTAAAAGAAAGAAAAAAATTTATTCATGAAGTTTATGTTCCATCTTATTTGGGAAAGTATATTGGAAGACGGACATCATTGGTATTAAATCAATTATTCATAATTTCAGATCAGCAATTTTTGGAGTTCGTGAAGAACAAATCAATCAAGAACCAGTCTATAAAAGGAGACAAGTCTCGGAAAGTAGACATCACGAACATCCAATTGTATCTTCATTAGCCTATAGAAACAACTTATTCGTATCTGCTACTTAAACCAAAGTCATATTGAGGTAGAAAGCAACTACAAACAGTATAAAAATTCCCAATGTCAGGTTATACACCAATACATGGAACAATAAGTCGAGCAGAAAGGCGATGAAACAGGTAAGTGGTGGCCCTGAAGATATCCTTTCATGGAGAACAATTGACAGGAACCATATGTGAAACAAACAGACAGGTACATAGGAATGGACCCATGGCAAAAATCACCAGATCAAGTTTCCACTAAGCAAATATCTTACTCCCTCCATTTCTTTAGCCATATGATTTTTCTCATATGAAGTGTCAATTTAGAGTATGAAGGCAAAATTAATTTCGGTTTTCCAACTTTACCCTAACATTGATGACAGATTAATTAAGTGAGATAGAGAAGAAGGTGAAAAGCCACAAGGGGTTATATGATCCAATAAGAACTTTTTTCCCTAAACTCAAGGCTATTTGATAGATTCTGAATAGGTGACCATTTACTTTGAACGACGCTTAAAAACAAACGGAGGGAGTACTTAATAAAGAGCTGAGTGCCGATGTTAAGAAGAATAAAACTCACGAGGAATGGTCGTATGAACTTAGAATGCCTTTGTGGGGCCAGGGATAGTTAGGTGCGTCCAGGCCATGTTCAGCCTCATCACAAGATGCTACTGTTGCAAAACTTAACAGCCCCGAGACACCTGCTCCAAAGAGAGTCAATACCCTCCAGGAATTCATTGTGGCAGATTCAACTCCTTTCTGCTCGTTCTTGGAAACAAGAGACGATAAAACTGGAGAAACCTGAAAGTGAAAAAATTAATATGGGAGTCCTTTTTCATTTTCCATGTAAGCCTACAACATACCGTAACAACCCAGGTTTGGTATAAGCAAAGAGAGAGAATGAGCTTCTAATCCAATTGAAGGAGAAAAATAATATATTATAACTTTTTACTCATAGTACGAAAATTGACAATTATAACTTTTGGAGATAAATAGATGAATGACTTGCAATTGACTTGCAACCAATACAAATTATATCATGCTCGGTAAATTTTCAATCATACGCAAATTTTCAGATATTCTCATTCTCTGCGGTGATGACTAGATGCAGGATATATTGAAAGCATATTAGATAGATCATATCAAAGATGAGTGTATAACTTTTTTATATATATATATATATATATATATATATATATATATATATATATATATATATATATATATATAGTATTGAGAAGAGCATTACAGTGTTTTGTGACAGAAGTTTCTCTCTCAGCAACCGATGGATTGCTCTACCTCCAAACATCTTAAACAATCGCCCTGCTAAAAGAAACAAAGGTGCAGATATTGAATTTATGAATACGAAAATCCAACACATATTAGACAGATAGTTTTATCAACAGGAAACCCTTCATTCAAGGACCATAAAATAAAGGGAGGGAAAGTGCAAGTTTAAAAATCATTACTACGGAAAACGACTATCACTTAGCTCCCTCATAAACAGTAAAAGAGAGGGGGAAAAAAACATTTGTCGAAACAGATGAGGCCGTGAGCATACATATATCCCAACGTAATCCTTTTTATTAAGATCAACGAGTCGAACCATCATTCACAACATACCAAAATACACATCATAGTATTCCACAATATTCCACAACATCGATGCATACGAATTCGTATAGATATTAATTTACTCCCGAAAGATGCGAAATGGTCGCAAATAAAATAATAGAAAATGCAGTTTACATCAACATTTTTACATTCAAACAAAAAACTCGAATACATAGAATTTATCAGATGGAAATGCAGCTGTCAATTAGATAATAGACCATTCCGAAACGATAAAAACAACAAAATCATATCAAGAGACAATTCGAACATCACACAACCAAGCGAATATATGTTTTTGCTACAACTTGCACACACACACACAAACACACACAAAAGAAAAAAAAAAGAAAAAAAAAGGCATGTATGTATATAATTAACAGATCTTGGTGAGAATCACCTGAAAACACGAAAAATTGATCGGCGGCTGGTAATCGGAGATCCGGAAAAAGGAAGACGAAGACCAGTGGGAAGAAATTCAATCGGAAATGGTAAACAATGAGGCTGTTTTTCGCAATTTGACGTTCTACTCTGGCGGAGGAGCTGCTGGGCCTCTGAGGGTAGGCCCATTTATATACTTTGGGATTTATGTATGAACTGTATGCAAAGTTGGCCCACTCGATATAATTCGAGTAGAATTTCAATTAAATAAATTTGAAATCAATAAAGTATTTTTATTTGAATTAGCAACTTTAGCATATACTTCTTATAATGCCAACAAAAGTAATATTTTGTCTTTTTAAGAAAAAATATTTGTTGATATGAAAAAGGTTACTATAATTAATTAATTTATATATTATATAGTTTATAGTTGGGCAGGCAAATTGAAATTACACTACTAGAGTTAGTAAAATGGACAAACCCGAATCATTATCTATCGACCCGAGATCCGGATTCTGCCCCGAAACCGGAATATTTTACAGCCTCCGCCCACTAGTCCCCCTTCCACCGGCAAACACACTTCTCTCCGCCGCCGATTATGCTCTTTCCCTCCACTCCACCTCCACCTGCTCCGATTCTACCGCGCTCATCAACTCCGCCACTGGCCACCGAATTTCCTACTCCCAATTCCGTCGTTACGTCGATGCCTTAGCCTTCTCTCTACGAACGGAAATTGGCCTCTCAAACAATGACGTCGCTTTTGTGCTTTCCCCCAACTCCACCCGCACTCCGATTCTCTATTTCGCGCTCCTCTCCATCGGCGTCGCCGTCTCTCCGGCCAATCCTCTCAGCACGGAGTCTGAAATCTCCCGCCAAATCAAAATCTCGAAGCCGGCCGTCGCGTTTGCCACGTCAGCAACCGCCGTTAAACTCCGGGAGCTTGGATGTAGAACTGTTCTCATCGACTCGGTCGAGTTCGAGTACATGATGACGGGAAGAATCGACGCCGGCGGCGGACTCGGCGTGGTGGAGGTGAGACAGAACGACGTCGCTGCGATACTCTTTTCCTCCGGGACGACGGGTCAGACAAAAGGCGTGGCCCTAACTCACCGGAACTTAATTTCCGTCGTCGCTAATTTCTACCACCAGCGGCAAGAGAGGCCATCTCCGGCGGTGGGGCTGTACACGATTCCGTATTTCCACGTGTTCGGGTTCCATTACAGCTTGAAATCGGTGGCGCTGGCTGAGACGGTGGTGGTTATGGAGAGGTTCGAGTTGGGAAAAATGCTGAGGGCGGTGGAGGAGCATAAGGTGACGCATTTGGCGGTGGTGCCGCCGATCGTGGTGGGGATGGTGAAGAGTGACGTCACGCGGAAGTTCGACTTGGGCTCGCTGGAAGCTGTTGGCAGCGGCGCAGCACCACTCGGCACAGATTTGATTGAAGCCTTCACAAATAAATTCCCAGGCGTTTCACTTTTTCAGGTTAGAACAATACACGAAAACTGACTTGTTGTGTACCGTTATCTGATGAATCGATCCTAACAAGCTCAATGAAAACCTTAGAATTTTAAATCTATCATCTCAATTTGGTTTTATTTTTGTTTAGAGTGTTTGATATTGAAAAACTAAGAAGTGATTGAAATGGTAAATTGAAAAAGGGTTATGGGATGACTGAAACAAGTGGTGCAGCATTCAGAGCAATAAATCGTGAAGAATATTCCCGATGGGGTTCGGTGGGAAAGCTTGCAGGGACTAATGAAGCCAAGATTGTTGATCTTGAAACAGGCATTGCTCTACCTCCTGGGAAGCAAGGGGAACTATGGATAAGAGGACCGACCGTGATGAAAGGTAATTCATTACTAATCACTTAGCTTAAGGTATTAATTGTATTAGAAATTATGTGAATTATTTATTATTTGTAAGTGTAATATTTCATGGAATATCTGGGATTTTTTTTTTGTAGGATATGTGGACGACAGAAAGGCGAATTTGGAAACCTTGGTGTCGGGCGAGTGGCTGAAAACTGGTGATGTTTGTTATATTGACGAAGAAGGGTTCCTTTTTGTGGTTGATAGGCTAAAGGAGTTGATCAAATACAAAGGATATCAGGTTAATATCAACCATAGTCCATCTTTTGTTTCTGTTTTAAGTATACCTTCAGTTAAAGAAAGTGTATTGTGTGTTGCTGGTTTAGGTTGCTCCTGTTGAGTTAGAACAACTGCTTCTCTCCCACCCTGATATTGTGGATGCTGCTGTAGTACCGTAAGCTTCATCCGTGTCTTTAACTTCTCGTATATATTTTTTTTCTTATTATTATTATTTTCTTATTCTTACAAATATATAAATTACAGTTACCCTGATGAAGAAGCTGGTCAAGTGCCGTTGGCATTTGTAGTCCGATCTCCACAAAGCAACCTTAATGAGAGACAAATTATTGAATTTATTGGGAAACAGGTACTTTTCTCTAATTTTTTGGTCTAAAACAACATTTGGTGCAACATTTGAGAAAACCCGTCTTTCTGAACTACTTATTTTATAGGTTGCTCCGTACAAGAAAGTAAGGCTTGTAGCATTTATTAGCTCAATACCGAAGAGTGCATCCGGCAAGATATTGAGAAAAGAATTGCAGAAGATTCTCCTGCCAGAGTCTAAGCTTTAGTGACGACGTTTCACTTGTTCGCTTCAGTAGACTTTTTCTTGGAGGAGATTTCAAGATTTGATAATGTTTTCGATAACCTACAATGTGTAGAAGAAGCATTATATCACTATGTTCTCTTGTATCCGTTATAACATTAACAAGGGTTCAAATCACATAATTTACTTACAAAACAAGCACACAACACAACTCCGAAAAAAATTTCCTATCATAAATCAAATTACAACTGGCTAACAAGTACACGTGGAGGAATTAAAAGAACCACAAACAAATGAATTACAATCGAAAAATTTCACAACAAAAAGAAATGAATTAAAAAAAAAAAAAACAAAAATCAGCTAATTAACTTTGGTCTTCCTGTCTTTACACAGCTCATGCCACTCCTGCAACACAGCAGCTTGAAGAGCACGACTTTCAACCTCCTCCGCAGTTAACTTAAACAAAGTCGAAGGTCCCTTTATTTTCTTCTCTTTTACTTTACCTTCGGTTTCCTTTCCCTCTTCATCCTCTTCCTTTTCTTCTTCTTCTTCCTCATCTTCATCAACATCTGGTTTGGGAGACTTTGTTTTACGAGGTTGAGCAGCTTTTAACAATGCTATTCGTTCCATTGAGATTCTAAGCCTCTCTGCAGCAGCTTCTTTGACTTCATCTTCAGGCATGTAGTGAACGCTGCCATCTGTAAGGTCGTCCATCCATCCCTGTAGATCTGAACCAATCTCCTTTGTGATGGATGCGTCTGAAGCTCGTACCACGAATTTGCATATCATGGTTGTGGTTTCGTCACCAAGGTCCACGTTTCTGCTCACTTCACTTGCACCAAATATCATCATCCCCACAAATCCTCCGTACCAGGTTTTAGCAGCGTAGCACAGCTGTTTTTAGACCAAAAAGTCAGTTAAGAGTAGAGAAAGTCAGGTGTTTGTGTGTGTGTGAATAGAGTTCCGTAGGTGTAGCCAAGGAGATCACTTGTTTGATTATATGTGATCTTGTTTCCTTATTCACAAGAAACATGTCCCATAGTAATAATATAATCTTTATGTATTCATGAAAGTACTTAATGGGTTGATATCCTAGTGAGATTAGAAGATTTTATTTTTCTGTATTTGAAATCTTATATTTTCAAACTGTCATTGATACCAAAAGGAATTACTAAAGAAAATAAACGTAACGAATTTTGAATGTCCAGTCTTCTCCAAGAGAAAAAAAAAATTTAGACCTAGGAAAAATGGAGAAAGGATAACATAGGTAGAGCTGAAGTAACCATATGAGTACAATAAAAGTGCATTAAAGTAAAACTAACCTGGAAACCAGCAACTGTGCGAATAATATGTGAGCAAACTTTATGAAAAGGCTTAGAAGACAGGGATTTCAAGCCACTGAGAAAAGGAGACTCCCCATACTGCTGAGCTGCTGTTGCCTTAAAACCGCTTCCTTCATATGTATATGTACCGGTGGACTCCACTATAGCAGGTAAACTAGGCCACAGACGAAAATATTCAACCGGTGAAATCTTGTGCGGCATAAGAAGTTCGGTAAGGGGAATTTTGTATGGCTGGCATCTCAAAATCACAGGCTCCCCTATTTCAGGTCTCAGGCTTTTCCTTTGTCTCATAACTTGTGGATCTTCCTCAGAATAGTCGCCTTCGTAATCTGCTGGAGTACCGTGGAAAGGATAGTACAACACCTGGACCCATAGGGCACATCGCTCGAAATGTGAAACACCAACAGTTACGCTGCACAACACTGGCTCCTGAATAAAGACGAGCCAATTAACTTTTGTTAGCATGATTAGTACCTTTAAAAGTATGTGTAAAGCTTTTCCGAGTGTAGAATCTAATGAGCTGAAATAATAATAGATGCTTTTTACAAAATCAACCTGTGTTTTTGACCTATTAGTTCTAGAGGAGAATCTTTAACTTCACTATTATCTTTTTTAGTCCAAAACGAGTTTAGTAAATATCAATGCAGATGCAACAAAAAAAGGTATTGTTTGCCACTTTACTTGTGAATTAAGATCACGCAACTGCCGCACTGCTTGAGGCGATCCATCCATGAAGTATAACCCACCCGATAGACCGACTCGGATGTCTACGCGATTTAATTCAATCTCTGTAAGATTCAGAACCTGCAACAATTTATCTATTGGATCAGACTGGTAAATCCAATGAAATGCTATCAAGTGCCGAGAAAGAGCGTAAATTGTCATCAAAAGAAACATACTAATACGACCTACATTCCTAGTACCTCTAGCAGTAAGCATGTCATTACTTACTCACTACGCTTACTTGAAACCAGCATATACTTGTCAGTTACAACTTACAAGTCAATAAAACAAGGGAATATTTCAAGCCCACTAGAAATCCAAAATAGTCAAGCTGAGTTTGCACTTTTCAAATAAATGCAAATAAATATATAGGCTGAAAACAAACAGACCGAGAGAGTATTTGTTCAGCGCAGTCTTACTCAGAAAGCACCAGAAGTAGCTAAAAACAGCAGTCTTACCTTCAAATGCAGAGTAACCCTTCCATCATTTGGATCTGCCAAATGATATCCTTCAACATAGCAAGGATCACTACTACCAGTTAAAGTGAATGCACTAGGAGGAACCTTGATCAAACTCGGGTCAATCCCTTTTGTCAACAACAGAGTTAATTCATTGGGATCTGGTCTCCACAGTTCTAAAATAGCTTTATGAATCAATCCCTCTAGTTTTCGGTCCTGAGCTGCAGATGTGTCATAGAACTGAACAGTTAGCTTGTGGTGGCTAAATGGGTAGTCTCCCCTGGTTTCACTAACCCCAGCCCATCTAAAAACAAAAAGAAAACAAGATTAGGCAACCAAAGAAGAATTTAGAAAGAAAAAAAAAGTTAGATTGCCACAGTAACTGCTACAAAGTCAGTTGATAGTATATATTTTATACTCAGTAACTCATGCCTTTAAACAGCAGTCCTAAAATTCCAATTCTAGAATGAAACTGCTTTAATAAGACTCAAAACCAGATCATATTTTCAAACCAATTAAAACAATCGAGTATAAAGATCCGCATATTGGGCAGATGGACTCAAATAAATTTCTTTAGATAGGCAAGATCTCCAGCAATCCCGTAACCGGGTAGGTTATCAATCAACCAAACAAATGAGCAAGAATCATCTATAGTTGATATTTCACAAAGCACTGGTTCAAAGTTCAAACAGTATGTAATTAAGCTGCAAGCTTTACAATCTAGCCATCAGTGGACTGCTGTGAATTATATCATCATCCATATGTTGTTGAGATGTGACCTTGGTATTTTCAGCGGTTATAGGACTTTTAACTAAACCGTAGAAATAATGAAGAATACATAATACATTTGTGTTAGTGGGCACAGCTGAGTATATCAGTTGTTTGCTATTAAGCAGTTTCTTATAGAAACTCAATTTTAGTCAAAGCAATGCAGTCTTCTTATAGCTTTATTTAAGTATATGAATCTAGGATAAAATACTTACTTATCATCCGAATGACTTGAAACATATTTAATCCTCTGTAGAATTATACGGCATTGGTGCTTGTTGACTGAATCAGCAGAGGGATTGCTCCTAAATTCTTCAAGCTCCTTACTCAATAATTGCCCAGCCCTAGCATTACGTGATCCCAAACGCTGTGCGCATAGAAGAACTGCTTGAACATCTTGAAGCCGATTTGTTGTGCTTGCAGATGAGTCTATGTTGAATAGAACTTTGTGGATATTTGATACAATTATGTTTAATTGGTCCTCAGGGTCATCAGCAAGAAGAGGGTCTAACCCCTCCAAGTCAATGTGTTCTGAAATTGCCCAGAGAAGACGGGCAGTGATTCTAGGGGTGCTAACCTGCCAAATAAGATGTGATTATGCAATGTGATAGCTAAAGATAGACACCATAAAAACCAAAAAATAAATTCGTGCTCTTCTAATCATAATGCAACAAATTAAGCTAGCAGATGTCAAACATCTCAAACAATATTTATTATCAGAGGGTGCATATCTACACAAAACTTACATGAAATTCATATTACCCATGAGAAAGATACTATAAAGCCACAATGGAGGTCTGAGATAATTGTGAAGAAATGTAATGAATATAATTTCCAAAGTTGTTATATGGTAACCATTAGAGACAACTACTATGATGCAAAATTTTCACAAACTGTAGGGTAAGTAAGAGCACAGAGTTATGGATAGAACTACAATGTCCTAGCATGCCAGGAAGAATATAATTTGACAGAGTATCACAAACCTCTTGCAGACCTCTAACAAGTTCTCGCTGCAAATTTTGCAGTCGTGTTTCATTCAATATCTGATCTTGAGAAGCACCATCTTTGACTCTTTTGACACCACCTCGAGTGTCATAAATGTGGCAAAGTCTAACAAGCAACTTTAGATAACAATCGATGGCATATGTCCGGCCATCACAATCCCATTTAACACAAGGCCTACACACTTCCACAACTTCTAAAGCTGGTTCGGTCCAATTCAATGCACCATAACCAGTTCCATAGGCCAAGGCTCCAATCACTCTGCTTTCCATGCCTGAATTCTTTTGTTCAGGCAATGGCAAGGACAACTGAAAGCAGCTCTCAACCAGCATTGCAACTAGTTCTTCTCTGAACAAGCTCTTACTAGTGACACTGTTGAGGTCATCCTTTATTCTCGCATCCTCAAATAGTGAAGCAATATCAGTTGCTGCAACTGGTTTCTGCCCTCGGCGAACACTCTCCTTTGCAAAAAGATCAACACAGAGAGCAGTTCGACAGATGCATGCCAGAGCATGCATTCGATCAGATTCTGCTCTCAAGTTCCGCACCATATGAAGCAGCTTTTTAAACAATGACACCTACAGTAGTGAACAATGCCACACAAAATTACACATCATCACAACCTAAGTACCACATGACTCACAGGACAGATTCAAGATAGAAAACCTGGATTTTTGTCTATAACAACTACTTTAAAGTAACAGTAAAAAAAAGTCCTGTCTCAAAGCAAGAATTAATCTGCAAGAAAAACGAAATGGACATAGTTTTGAAGAAATAAACAAACAGAAGTCTTTCACTTCTAATACCATCAACTCTTATATGAAGAGGCTTTTCCATAAGAGGGAAGAGTAAATTGAAACTCATTAATCAGATTTCAGTTCACTGCCACGCAGATTAATGACTATTGTTTGCTACTGAAGTCGGATTATCTCTCTTTCATCTGCATGACAAATGGTCATAGAAATATCTGATTCCTAATATACATAGAATTTTATTTAATATAATTCCTTTTGCAGATGACCTTCTAAGGAACATGCCGCTCTTGTTATTTTACAAACCTTGCTTTAGCTTTAGGACATTGCATCGTTTTTTTACATTATCGAGCTTCACATGATTCTTATAATTATCCTTTGGTTCATGCGATTAATGAACATGTTGGGGTTCTAGGAAACTCATAGGCCATAGCCAATGAACAGGTGGTTTCATCCAAAATATGTACGCATATGATTTTGATCAGCCACATAAGAATATCGGGCATAATTTTCATCAGAATTGTTAGATCAGATATAATAATAGATATTTATATTAGGATATGCTAGAATCTATAAACTTGACTGGATCAAACTCCAACAACAGAATGCAGGAAATCAGACACGTACCTGCATACTAAGGTCAAGGAGATGCAAATTCGTAACAACAGCTCGAACTATACTCTCGCGGGCAGAAGAATACTCCTGTCTGTCCCAAAGTGTGAGAATCGCAATAATTGACCCAGAGGCCCACTCAGGCTTCCCTCCAGACACATCTGCCAAGTATAACATATTGATCCCTACCTCAAATATCAATGCAGGGTCCAAAGATGATACCAAAAACGGCGCCAAATGAGAAACCACATCGGACACTCCCACGAAGCTCTCTGCATTCCCTGAATCTGGGGTCGTATTGTTCCTATTCTTTGATGACCTTGATAACTTCTTGATTACCTCAATTGAACCTGAAGCCACTGCCTTCACTGCATAAACCAATGGGAAAATGGTAGCTCTAAAACTCTCAACAGGTAGAATTAACGCTCGAGACATCAAAGCGTTTCTCTTCTTCCACACAAAATCAACCATTGATGATATCCAGTTTGATCGAATCGCGACGGAGTTTTCAGTATCAACTAACTTGTCTCCAGCAAGCCGGCTCATCCTCTTTGTTTCAAATTCCTGAAATAGTTTACCAACGGATTCGAATGCGACCTTGGACACAGAATCGGATTTGTCCAGCATGTTTTGAGCAATTCGATTCCACCAATTGGAGACACGATCGAGCAAGTTAATATTGTTTTCACACAATGTAACGAGATCGTCACGTGCCAGAATGCAGCCTAGGGTTTCCGTAATTGAAAAGCGGAGATTGTCACTGACCGAATCGAAACAGGCGGAGATTTCTTTGTTGCAGTCGTTGATGAGTTTACCGAGGCGGTAGGAGGGGATGGCAGACAGGATTGAGATGGCGGCGGCAGTTACGTCAGGATCCGGAAAATTGAGATCGTCGCGGATGCCGGTGCATACGATTTCCCATAGATCGGCGGTGAGACGAGTGGAGCGGATGAGGTCGAATGCGAGTTTTTTGGAGACCGCGGATGCCGGAGAAGCGACGATCTCTTCAACGGCGGATTTTGCAATGACGGAGATATCCCGTCCGGCGGCGGATTGTTGCAGCGCTTGGAGTAACGCGCTGGATTGCCGGAGCGCATCGTTAGACCGCAGGTCCGCTTGGATCTGAGCAAACAGTATGTCCATTTATGTAGGATGTTTCCTTCACGCCAAAACTATACTCAGAACTTAAATCTGCAGGAATTGAATCTGAGCTGGAACTTCGGTGCTTGAAGCACCAGCTTATAGATTCTCCTGAAACATCAGCAATTGAAACGCTAGCAATTGAACTCAACAGTTGATTAATTCCGGCGCAATGAAGTAGTGGTGAGGCGGTCGCCGGAGGTTGGAGGTGGAGTTTGTAAAGGTGAAATACTCTCTCTCTCTGTTTTACAGGGGAAAATACACAAGTTGCTATTTCCGTTTTGATAACTAAAGTCGCTAGTCGAGACAAGGTTTAAGGATTAGTCTTGCAGACTTTTAAGCCAACTCAACATTATATCCTTTTTTCAAATTAAATTAAAAATGTTTTTTACCTTTTCAAATTAACATTAGTGTTTTGTATTACTCCATACATTTCATATTAAAATTTTCGACGAAATATTTTTGTTTCATATTACACTATTAGGTTGTAATAAAACTCGAATCAGTGAATTTAACACCCTACCAATAAAATTATATGTTAATATGTAGTAAAATTAATTGAAACAATAAACACATCATTTCATGACAAATCAACCCTTCAAAGAGAGACATGGCATTAGTCCCTGGTGAATTAATAAACTAAAACTAATATTTAGAGCTTTACAAAGTTTACTCCCTCACTCATCTCTCACCAGAAGCATGAAGCTGTGTGCGAATATTTTTCACCAAAAGTAAAACTTCGAGAGTGTGTATTATCGTCCACCAAACGAGAAACGTAAACAAGTTTTTTCCTCCTATCAAAATTCACAACTTGGATCAAATGCCATAACACAGAACGATGCATATTTCGGTTGTAACTACTAACTACTCATATGTTGAACTTCGAAGGAACATCATAATCATCAAAATCAAATCTTTGGCGCTCCCTTCCAACCTGAATAGAGAAGAGGATCAAGATTTGATGTGAGCAAAAAATAAAGAGAATAATAAACTGCAGCTGTTACTATACCATAGGGTTTAAGCAATTAAAAAAAAATCGATCTTTATGTACCTTTCCTAGGTAAGAAGGATCAAATGACATTGTTTCATTCATGCCTGTAAGCTTCTTCGAGAGCATCATTATCCTGAAACAGAGTTTCAACAGCATTACTATGATAAACTGTATTTCTGACCAATTCTCTATCTAAATTTACTGATACGACACTCCAATATTCGTACGATCTAAAAGGCAGCAAGTACAGTACTAGTGCACAGAATAGATGAAGGGTGTCGTCAAGCTATGAATGAGTAATATAGAATGTATTATTTGCAAGTGTCATAAAGCATGACTGTTTAAGAATGACCTTCCTAACTTTCTTGATACTTGTCATGAAATCTAGAATTTTAATGACAATATATATACCTCTGGATTGAGAAGTCGATGCGTTCAATCATCTCACACGTTTTGTATTGTTCAGGATCCTCGAGGAATCTAACCATTCCATCCTTTTGGTTAATCGTAGCATAAATTTCACCAGCTTGAATCTATATCCAAAGAGAAATGCATAATTTCAAGAGTTTCAAGTGCATTTGCTAGCAAAGTAAAGCATGTATATGCGTAACTTACCATCTGAAGTACATGCATCTCGGCCGCTTTGGGGCTATCTAATTGGACAGTATTAGCAATGTCTTGGAGGGAGAGAGTCAGGTATGTCTGAGTTAACCTCTGAATATTGCGTTTATACATTGAAGACACTACTTGCTTCACTAACCCAAGATTCTTGTCCTGGAAATGGAATAAGAAATTATATAAGACTTAAATCGAAGTCCTCGAGTGAAGAGTGCAGTACACCCACATTAGGTGCAAGGAAAGAGAATTTTTACACTTTCAAACTTCTCAGTGTTTGCCCGCACACATGTCTCAAGTTCTGATACTTTGCCAGTACTATAGCTATTTACCAAATCAAGGTAGGCCTGATCGAATAAACAAAAGATAATAATGAGACAATTAAATAACTGAAGCTGAGCAAAAACAGGAAAATGAAAACCACATCAGAAGTAACTTTACAGCATTGAAAAAATTCACGGGAATGGCAGAAATAATATTGTCTTGCCATATTATTTGAATGGGCATCTGATACCCTAATAAAAACAAAAACGGCCCCCCGTAAATATACCTGAGAAAAGTTTTTCAGATTCCTTTGAGCAGCTTGAGAAGCATACTTGGGGAAACTGGTCGAGAACTGCCATCAAGATTGAAAAACAGGTAATTCATTTAAATATACAGCCGTGACAGGCCAACTATTAAGCAAAAATCAATTAAAATGATTTACAACAACGATTCTTCAACATTGTCAAAGTACCAAAAACAATTTTTATTTTCTTTCCTAAGAATATCCTTGCAGATGAACAAATATTTAATATAAAAAAACAAGTTAATGGGACAAGCATGCATCCACATCAGTATTGGCACATACCTGTCCGTGATGAATGAGAGAAACCAGAATGTATTTTTTGTATGCTTCAACTGCTATAGCACTAACAATGGCCATAGGAGCAGTTACAACCTAAAACTCACAGCAACAACAAATATCAAAACTATTAGATTGAACGTGCAACATTATTACATCATATACAATAAGAATCTAGCATAAATCACTATGAAATAATAGTCAGAGTGAGGTACATACATTGTGTAGGAGCTCCAAAGCTTTTCTAAACTGCTTTTGTCCTATGCAAATCATACCCCTGGAATTATATCAAATAACAAATTATGCATCAATATCCTTGTATAGTAATAATCAACAAGATTCATGTAGCAGTCAATGCATTCAGATGATAAGTAACCATAAATATACTTCTACAACATGATACTTGAGACTGGATTAATCCATGATGAAATAGTAGCAATACACAATATCAGTATCTTTAGACTCTAAGAACCGAAGGCCTTTGACTTAAAAAATTAGTAGATGCCATTTTAAACAATCCAAGAACCAAAAGGCATTTGACTCGATCCAAATTTGTGACAAGAATCAACCCAACCTAAGTAAGATGTTATAAAGATACCAGAAGCAGAGTATGTGTTCAAAGAAGATTCTATGGGAGGAAAATACAATAGCAGCAGAAAATTACAACACAAAATTATCCTCAAGTTCAGTTTAAGAGAAACAAGTAATATGAAAAACTTGTGTATAACCAGAGTTATCACATCCAATGCAAAATCTGATGAACTATATGAAGTGAACGTAAATCATAGGGGAGGAAGTATTACGTACAGATGAGACAACTCACCCATAATAACAATAGAGGAAAAGATCACGAGGTTGATCAACCTCAAATATGTCGTTCTCCAAAATGGAAAAACCTGTTTTATAGCACTTTGAAAGTAAACAGAGAAGAACAAAGTCGGGATGTAGAGTTGTCAACTGTTCAGTGGACGTTTGAAGCTTGCGTATAGCTGTCAATAATGGAGCCACGCCACGCATGGGATCTTGAAGCAACATAACTTGCTCCTTTAACCTCTTACAAACAGATATAACTGTAGCGCCAAAATTTTATAATCAGTAAGAAAACAGCCAGAAGAAAAAAATTGAACTGAGAATCTAACAAAGGAAGTGGTTACATTTATCGGGCGCCAAACGAATTTGCTCTGCAGCACACACATTGATAAACCTAGCTACAGTAATCACAAGTTCATTGGCTTGCTCTTTTGAAATTGGAGCGGCTGTGCATGCATCCCTGATATGAACAATATATAATTTTTTTAAGAAGAATATTCAATGGAACAAAATAGAAAGAAAAAAAAAAAAACCTGCATTACACCAGCTACTAGCTACACATAAAAATAGATAAACTAGCTTCTAGAAAGTGCGTGGACCAAAAAACATGTGAAAAACCATCACTATATGGGCACAATTATCATAAGAAAAAAAATTACTGGAATTTCCATAAGCAAACCCTAGTTTTCTCAAATTCCACAAAATTCATAATTCTTCAAAAAAACTAAATACAGCAGCCAAAAAAACAATTACAATGTTTCAGAACACATACAAAATGTAGAGGTAGCCAAGGGAGTGTATCGACGGATCGAGTTCGTTGAGGAGAGGGACGAGCCGAGTCGACTCAGTGCGCAGCAAATCATCGGACTGTTTCAAGTAGTTGCGGAGGTGAGTTAAGTCGGCGATGCTGCTCGATAGCCCTTGGATTTGCGCCAACAGCGATTCCGCCGAGCTCATATTCAGATTCATCGCTGCAAGTAATTCGCACCTTCGTTTTATATAGCACGATTATTGAAGGCTGATTATTATTATTATTATAAAATAATAATTGAAGAGGAAAAAAAGAAAAAGAGGATTTGTAAGGGAGGGAGAGTGGTGGAACGTTTATAGGAGAAAAGGTGAGAAGAAAATCATGAGTCTGAACTACTTTGGGCTCTTGTTATTATTGTTGGGCCTTTTGGGCTTTTTAATTTAATTTTTTTTAATCTGTTGGCTAAAACCCATTTTTTAAGGATAAATTTATAAATTAATATCAAGGATTTAAAAGAAAACTAGGGGTGAAAATTGGAACGAAAGTTTTGAAATTCCATTGATTTTGATCCGCAAAATATCCGATATTGAAACAATTTTTTCCATTCCAAATTTTGGAAGTTCTGATTTCTGAATTTTCCGAACTGCTTTTTAACCAAATTGGAATACATATTAGATTCCGATTTTCGATCCAATTTTATTTCCGAAAATATTTCGAAAAACTTCTGACTATTTTTCAAATATTACACTAATAATATCAGTATTGTTATATATTTTAAATATGTGTCTAAAGAATTGGAATTTTGGAATTATGTCGATTTTGATTTGAGTTTTTTTTTTGGATTTTGGAACAAGATTTTTCATTTTCATTTTTTATTTTTCCGACTTTTTTTTTAAAAGTAATTAGAATTAGTTTTTTACTTTCGAAAAATATTGATTTTTTTGGAAAGTGCCATTTGCGATCCGATATGTCCGATTTTCACTCCCATATAAAGTCAACCGAGTTTGTAAATTTGCGATCCAATGTGTCCGATTTCCACTCCCACATAAAATCAACCAAGTTTGTAACTCCCTCCATTTCCTTTCAAGTAAAGTTTAAGGTAGGTGTAGAACTCGAGCTCAATTAGGAAAAAATATCTAATGTAACAATTATACTACTCGAGTCGATTGCTTATCAAACCAAGTTAAAAATGAAACTCAACTCTAAAAGCTCGTCAACAAATGCATGGTTGTGCTCGACACAATTCGTTTACACCCCTATAGAATAAGATGTCACCTGAATATTTACAAAGAAGCATACACAAAGTTCCATTTAATACCACCAATACAAATTGCACAATACATGCATCAAAAGTGAAGTTCATTCATTCAAGAAATTCATCTCCCACCTAATTCATGAACCTTTCTTTAACAAACACAAACAACTACTACACAGCATCCTAGCATCAAAATTATCTCAAGAATACCGAGAAACCTAAGACAAAGTATAATCTAGAGTACCTACTCGTATCTGCCAAATTACATGCCTACACATTAGCCTTTTTCTGCATCTTTTTCTTCAAAAGTACATGAAAATCGTCTTCCGAGGTAGACAACATCTGGTTCAGCAGCACCTTAACTTCACATTTCCTCATAATCTCGTACCGACGTTTGATCCTGTCTTCCAAACTGTAACCGAAGTATTGCGGAAACTTAACCAGCTCGGTTTTGGGATAAAACGTGGTTAGAAAAAACTCCCACTTCAGCATCAAATTATCCGGCAAGCTGAAAGTATACAAAGCCCCATACCTAGCCACCATAATCGCAACATCTTCCAAACTATAACCCTTCTCCAAGAAAAACTCGGTCACGGGTTTTAAATTACCTTCGATACTGAGACCAAAAGTTTGTGGGGCCCGATAAAGAAGAAGGGTAACATTAACACCTAAAGATCGGAAATAGTTAGCAGTTGGTCTTAGCTTCTCTTCCACGCTGTAACTTATGATGTTGGGGCATCGTGTAAGAACTTTGCTCACGTTGTCAGAAGAGAGTCCCATCTCGTAGAGAAAATCTACGGTTGCTTGAAGTTTTTGTCTGCTGTAAGTGAGAAGAGGTGGGAAACGGTATATAACTTTCGCCCATTGCTTTTTGTCCACGCCTAATTCCTCGAGAAACTTCATTGTGGGAATAAGATTTTCCGTTAGACTAATCCCACAAAGTTGAGGCCTTTTGCTCAAGATTGTAGGAATATCTTCTTTTGGAACACCTAAATCGAGGAGAAATTCTACTACGGGTTTGATTTTGCCATCCAAACTGTAGTATGCGAATGCTGGGAATTTTCGTATGACTTCTTTGATTGCGTTGAATTCCATTCCAAGTTCTAGAAGGTATATGATGTGGGAAGGGAGTTTGCTTGTTGGGCTGAGGTCGGTTATTCGAGCTAAAGCTTTTAGCTTTTTGGAGTCGAGTGAAGGAATAGAAGAAGAGGAAACTAATGCAATGGAGTTTTCGGTAATGGGTTGTTTATGTACACTTTCTTCTAATTTTTCTTTTACGGGTGGGTTTGGGAAGTTCTCCACAACGTCTACTAAAATGGCTTCGTACTCCTCGAGTAGCGTCTCGAGATATGGAATCAGAGCGTCTCTAATCTCGAGAGTTGTTAGTTCTCGACCTGCAAAGACGAATAATGTACGTAATGTTATTAAAAGTATCAAGAAAAGGCCTCATTTGTTTTCCAAGATAAGATTATGCATTCATACGAAAACCCAATTGTAAAATTGGACTAGCATATGTAATATAACTAAAAGAATCAAGAAAAGGCCTCATTTGGTTTCCAAGATAAGATACGATTATGCAATCTAACGAGAACCCACTTGTATAATTGGACTAGTACATGTAATATTACTATAAGAATCAAGAAAAGGCCCCATTTGGTTTCCATAAAAAAGATAAGATTATGCAATCTTACGAAAACCCAATTGTATGATTGGACTAGTGGATATCGGATAAAAAATCACCAATAAGCCAAGATAAGAGCCCCTTTTTTTTGGGCGGGCCAAAAAAGTTATTGCATTAACCAATCATCAAATAAGACATAATTATTCACTTAATAATGATTTCATCTTATCAACCAAACGAGGCCAGGGGTTATTATGTTTTCAAATGGTAATAATGGATAAAAGAGAATGAGAAATCAAACCTACTAAGTATCGAGCCTTGTGAACAGAGTGGAGTCTTGAGACTAGGTGATCGATGAAAGGATCGGACTTGTTGATAGTTCTTGCAGCAACTGCATTGCTCAAACCTTGTTTCTTCAAGAATAATGTCAGAACAGCTTTGGCTTCTTCCTTTTCTGCTGCTAACAGTGATGGGGACACTAGCCTTAAGCTGACCGATCCATCTATCCCCGACTCAGCTTTTCAATCAAAAGTCATCCGGAAAAAGAAGTCAATTTGTGAAAAAGGTGCATTCTTTACGAATTTCCATGCGAAATAGCCCCAATAGCAGTCAGATTGAGAATGCTAGAGTATTGAAATCTTACCGTGTTTAGCTCGAAGAAAGAAAACCTTCTGAGGAACAATTAGCTCAGTCCTGCAGTTTAAAAAAAAGAATGGAAAAAGAAGGTCATCAATATTTTTTCTAATTCCATAACGGAATATTAAGACTGCAGTACGAAAAAGGACATGCAAGCGAAGCAATTTAATCGACTAATTTATCTTTGTACTGCCTCTGCTTCTCCAAACCAAAAAGACTACGGTGAAGCTATCAAGGCCAAATTCTTCTAGTTTATAGGGAGAAAATAAATCAATTTTCCCATGAAAATTTTCGATATTTTTTTTCCATAAAAAGCTACAATTTTAAGTTTCTCACTTTCTCGATCCCATGAATCCAGACGTCAATTTCCCTTTCCACTATGGGCCTCCGTCTTCCATGTTTTTGCATTACAAGTTCTTCTCCTAGCATAAAGCTACTCAATTATTATACTAACTAATAATTATGTGTTTGTAATTTAATAACCACTCAAACGTGAGTATCTCTAGACGCAAATTTAGATTCACATAACAGCCACCAACTGCAAACAGAAACATTATAGTACAAAACGAATACACGACTGCAAGTTCCATGTCACAAACTACAAAGCTCCCAACTTCAACAGCCATTCATTTCTAGCCTAGTGCTTATTCACACACTTAGAGTAGGTGGTGTATGTGACATGTTTGGCAATTGGCATTCTTGATTTTGAACTTTAAGGCATTTCTCAGGAACATAAATAACTGCAACAAAATTCGAAAATCAACTACACTACCAAAGTTTCAAACTTTACATATAACTCGAAAATCAAGAACCATAGAAACAAAAAACACACCATGAAACACAATTTCACAGGATACAAAATAAAATCATCCAGACAAAGCTTTGCGCACCCCATCAGAGAAGTAAAATTGTACCTTGAGTGGGGGAATGCGGACCTTGAAATAGAAGGAATCCCCGAGGGCTTAAAAAAGCTGCAAGCTTTCATAATTTTAACTTAATTTTTTGTTTAAAAGATTGTAGATTTAAAAGCAAGTAGATACAGATATGCAGTGAGAGAAAAATCTGGAAACCCAATAGGCAGCACCGTGGATATATATGCGTTTGTCTTCTTCCTAAATATCCTCCTCCAGCTTAAAACCAAAGTCGCGTTTCTGTGTACACTAAAGTCGCATTTTACAGATTAATTTTGTAAGATATTTATTAGGCCTTTTTATTGCTATGGCCCATCACAAAAGCGTGTTTTGAACATAAATTATTTTTGAAATGCAATCCTTCATTTTTTTCTAAACCCTTTAAACCCTAGAGTGAAATTATGCACACAGTTTAGCTCAGAAGAAGAAATTAAGATTCAGAAATGGCGATCTCCCTTAGACGATCATTAATTTCTTCGAAGAATCTCTTTTACGCACTAAGAACTGCATCCATCCACTCATACCAAACAATTTCTTACTTAAACGCCTCCAATTTTATCAATTCCCATGATTCTGCTGTTGCTAACAGTTCTCGAAGTTCGCCGACAGCGGATCTATATCAATTTTACACTCGGAGAGGATTCGCCAAAGGAAGGAAGCAACCAATAAGTAATCTATCTTTTTTATCCTTTGCTATTGTTATTATTGTGTTTAGCTGCTGATTAATTGGGAAATTTTAGAGCCGAGCATTTTTCTAAATGGATTTTAAGCAGATAGTTTCAGTTCATTGCTATGAAGCAATATGAATTTTGTAATGAAATGAAAATCTTCGATTTCGAATCGTTTGGTTGTGCTGAGATATCGATTTTCTGGATTTATTTTTTAAGTATCGTTTTTCTATTCAAGCAGTACGTTTGGGTGAAAGGAGTTAGTAAATTTGTAGAAAGTTTCCTTCAATTCAATTGAAACTAAAATTGGGCTCTTTTGGATGCCACATAAATATATCTATAGATGAAATGTGGTTATGTAGTTTCGTTTTTCGTCATCATATATTCTAGAAAAGGAAGAGTCGGAAGAAGAGGAGGAGGAGGAGGAAGAGGAAGAAGAAGAAGAGGAGGAGGATGTAGATGACGAGGAAGAAGAGGGCGGTGATTTAGGGGCTAGGGTTAAGGCTAATGCTGTAACACTGATGAATGCAGCAGTTGATGCACTGTCTCGAGAATTGACTAAATTGCGTACCGGAAGGGCATCGGCAGGTGCATAATTTTTTTTAGTAATTTAATGTATTGTTGTACATTAAATTGATGTGATTATTTTTTTATTTTTTTGGAAAAATGTTTTCTTCAGGGATGCTTGACCACATTATGGTTGAACAATATGGTGTTAAGACGCCTCTTAACAGGGTGGCAGCTGTCTCAGTATTGGACTCAAAAACCTTGTCGGTCACTCCATATGACCCTAATGTAATGTAATCCGACTTTTGTTCAGTTCAGTCACCTTTTCTTGATTATTCTTTTAATTGGATTATTTTAGTGGTTTATTTGTAAGAACACGAGAGCGTGCTATTCTTGGCATGATCCTTCTACATTCTAATGATCGAAATTTAAAGTCAAATCTCAGTTTTTATATATGCGATTTTATGTCTGTTATGTATTAAGCTACTGTAAGTATGATTCATGAGTAATTGAGCATCGACAATCTTGATGTAAAGTATCATGTATGGTAATAATTTATAAGCAAATGGTTTGACTTTTGCAGGCCCTGAAGGAGTTGGAGAAAGCCATCATCTCATCTCCACTAGGATTAAATCCCAAGTCTGATAACGAACGACTACTTACACCTATACCTCCGTAAGATTTTTTTTCTTCTTTTCAATAAATACGTCTTTTTGCTTCTAATGGTTGGATATATCATTGAGTTGAATCCAATATTGTTTCTCCCAAGGAATATGATGATTTTTACTTACCATCGTTGAATCATTAAGAATATAAATTATTTCGAGGAATGGAATTTTTATATTTTTTGGTGTGAAGCAACAATGTTGTGTTTATCTACTGATTTGTATGTTTTGGTGCTTGCACTTTGCAGATTGACCAAAGAACACATGCAAGTAAGTCGTAATCATTCTCTTATGTTTCTACATTATATTCTTTTGCTCATAAACCAGCACCAGTATTAGCAATATCCTAAATAAACGTCTCTGCCAGGCTGTGTGTAAGGTGGTTACAAAATCATCTGAAGATGTGAAGCAAAGCATAAGAAGAGCCCGCCAGAAGGTATTCGTTTAACTTATCACGCACGTTTCATCAAAGTTCACGACTTCATAAATTAAATGTTCCTTTTTGAGTTGTAGTTTGCTGTGTTTGTCAAGTCAAGGGTACTTTTGTAACTTCTCCCATGCAGTTGAATACCGTGAAATACACTGCATGGGACTTTTTTCTCCATTGCTGCATGCAAATATAATAGTTTTGTTCTAAGCATTTCCGTTCATGATGCGATGGTAAAACGTGCAAGAATTTAAACGCAGGTGGAACATATATTAGTGCAATTAATGTTATGTTTAATCTCTAAAACGGCGAACATGGTAATCACAGGCACTGGAAAGCATTAAGAAAGCAGCACCGAAGAAAAAGGACAAAGATAAATCTGGTTCAAGTATATCAGAAGATGATGCAAAACGACTCGAGAAAGAAGTAAGTTTGCACTTATATCTAAAACGAACACTCTAAAATCTAAATAAACGACTTGTAACTTATGTTTCTGTGTATCTGCCAGATTGATGAGTTGACCAAAAAGTTTATCAAGACAGCTGAAGATATGTGCAAGGCCAAAGAAAAGGAAATCAGGGCTGGCTGAATTTGGGTATTTAGGTTAATTAGATTTTATTTTATAAAAAATGATTAGATGTTGATTGGAAAAAGGTATAGCTGGATGTATGAACAGCTGTAAAGCCCCAGCTCAAAATGAATTAAATTTACTTTATATGGAAAAACAAAAATTGTTGGTGGTTTTATTACAGAAGTAGTAACAATGCCAGTTTGTTTTGACCATGTTTGAGAGTGACATGTCAACCTACTCGTGTTGTCTCTTACTTGATAAATTAGCATCTTTTCTTGTGTTCAACGCATATATAATTTATTAATTTAAGTGGTTCATCTACACTTTTCTCCTTGTTAATTATTGCTAATTCTTGGTAGGAAATCCCTTTTATTTTCTTAATAAAGATTGACACATTCAGTATTCCTCCCAATTTAACTATTTTTTTGGGTTGACGTGCATATATTAAGAAAAATTAATAAATATGCATAAATTATAGTTAAAAAAATATATACAATCACTAAAATATTCTTAATAATAATTCTTTCTCAATTAATTAATTGAAAACAATAAAGGAGAAAATTGGAAATAATGCAATTAATATTTTATGACAGGTTTTTTCGTAATTTGAGAAAATTGGAAATAATGCAATTAATATTTCATGACAGGTTTTTTTCGTAATTTGATCTTAGACCGTAAATTACTATTTATTTTATAAATAAAAAAAGCTTAGTAAAACATGGAGAAGTATCCGATTATCCAAAATCCAAACATGAGAGGGCAACCACTAACCCACGACCAAATTTTCCATCCACGCGCTTGCCTTGCCTGCACGTACATTGAGTCCTAGTTTGAGGCGTGCTCTACACTCGCTTCTCTGTGCCGACACTCTCACCTAAACTAAACACTCGTCAATTATCTATCAATTTCCTCTACTAAACTAAAAGTCATAAAAATGGATTAAATCAGTTAATCACATTATTAATCATGAGAACCCCATCATTAATCAGTTAATCACATTATTTTTGGCTGCGCCCATTAATGTAAATATGAATGTGAATCTACAAACTCAAACATACTTTATTTAGTTGGAATATTTATTTATGATGAACATTCTTTGATTGTTTTTCCTTTTATTATAAAACCACCGAATATTACATTATTTCATTTATTTGCACATCACTCACACCTCACTCTCTCTCTCTTCTTTCTCTCTCCTCTCTCTCTCTCTCACACACACACGCAACACACACACTTGAGAATCGGAGAGACATCAATCAACCACCGGTTGCAAAAAAGGACCACTTTTTCTTTTTCTACTTCACCGCATTCTGTACTAAATCTCGACACACTTCCGTTCCGCTTGGTGAGATTTTAAATCAATTTTCCTTTTATGCAGATTGCTTTAGTTCAAAATGTTGCATTTTGATTTTATTTTTCTGCAAATGTGATTTAGTTTTTGGGTGATGTGTGTTTGTTGCAATGATCTTACAGTAAGCTCTTTGTATGCTACTTTGCTGAACTTAGATCTTAATTAACTGTTCGGCCAAGTGTTTTTGCCTCAATTGAGCTTCCTATTTGATGTTCTCTGGTTCTTGTAAGTTTGTAAGAAGTTTCTAAGTAGTAGATTTGTGTTTGAAACTGGTTCTCTGATTTTTTTTTTTCTTTTGCTGCTTAATGAAATGTGTGTGTTATAACAATGAAGGTGCATTTATTGTGTTCTGGTGACACAACTGCCAACCTCTGAAATCATTTAGTTTTGCAATGTCTTTTTTGTTGTTGTTGGAAATTCCGTCTTCAATTTAGTATGTGGTTGTAGTGATAGACCATGCCTCTTAATCACTCCGACTTGTATCTCTGCAAATATATATATGTATGCTTACATCTTCTTGCTCGTCGTTTTTCATGTTCTTCAGGTGTTTTCTTGACTTAATCCCCGTCGGGACGCGTAGTTGTTTTTGATGTGACAATGGTTCAAGGTCCGAGGGCCAAAAGTCGAAAAAGCCCTTCAGTTCAACTTGACTACACTGTTCATATCCAGGAGGTAAAGCCGTGGCCCCCGTCTGTGTCTCTGAGAACGATCCGTTCTGTTCTGATTCAATGGGAACACGGCGATAAAAAATCCGGTTCGACCAATCAAGTTGTCCCTTCAATTGATGATGGTTTAATCGAATTCAACGAGTCTTTCAGGCTTTCGTTAACACTCATTCGTGAAGTCACCATCAAAGGAGATGGTTTTCAAAAGAATTGCATCGAGTTCAATCTTTACGAGCCGCGAATGGACAAAACGGTCAAAGGCCAGCTCTTGGGAACTGCGGTTGTGGATTTAGCAGAACACGGTATGATTAGAGAAAGTTTGTGCATTAGTGCTCCCATTAGCTGTAAGCGGGCATATCGGAACACTGCACAACCGCTTCTGTTCCTTAAAATCGAGCCTTTTGAGAGGAGTCGAACAAGCTCCTCCTCGAGGGAGAGTTTGATGAGAGAAACTTCAATGGACAGGAGTAATTTTGAATCTGTTTCTGCATTGAGTGAAGAATGTGCAGAAGAAGCTGAGGTGGCGTCGTTTACTACCGACGATGATGCTTCCTCGCATTCGTCTCTGGCTGTTACTTCAGCGGCAGCGGAATCAAATGGGAGTTCGTCGCCTCAAACTGAAGAGGTAAGAATATACAATTGTGTATGATAAAAATCTCATGTTGTTCATTAGTCTTATGATGCAGTTAATTAAGGACTCGTTTGGTTGTTAAGACCAATCACGATTAATTAACAATTAGGTCTTATCTGATATTTGCATTAGGATTGTAAAATTTTGTTGTCCTAAGATAGCATTATTTTATATTTGTCTAATCTATATTGAGAACTAAACAAGGCCTTAGTTGATACTATGATTCCTATTAATTGCAGAATGTGACAGTGGTGAATGGTAATGCTGGAAAGGCCCAAACTAATGAGGAGCAAGTGACTAAACCTCGTTTCAAATCCGAAGGGGGTTCTTCTCGTTCCCCCTCGTTGGATTTATCATCCGATCTTGCTTGGATCACAAAAAGAATTTCTTCTAGAAGTTTGCCGACATCAGCATCGCAAGAAATGGAGGAACAGCAGAGCTGCAACAAAGAAATCAACGAGCGTAAAACAGCAGTAGAAGGTATTCCCGTGAATGCTTCGTCTCCTGCTAAAGAAGATCCCGACGCTGGTAGAAGAACAAACTCAACTATAAATTATTCAACCGATAAAAGTATAATAGAAATACATCAAATGCTCGCAAAAGAAGTTAGAACAGTCGAAGAGAAAGAACAAACCGAGGACGTCCCACTGAGTGGCTCGTCTAAATTTGATGTCCAGAAACAAGCCGTGTTGGAAAACGTGCTACTTGCGCCTCCCAATGAGAAAATTGCAACGACTAGTAATTTTTTAAATATTGATAGATCAAAGCATGGGAAGTCAGTTCGATCGTCTTTGGACTCAAGCAGGAGTAGCAACGGATCACTTCGAAGCAATCAGTTTATTGCGGGCGATACTAAGAATCATACTCAAGGCTCAGTTAGCAGCGAGTATAAAGGTGCTAAGATATACCCGAAGGAAAAAATAAACCTTCTCTCCGACAGTAAAGTCCAGCATTTGGAGCGTAGAATGGAAGTTCTAGAAGCAGAGTTGAGGGAGGCTGCTGCCATAGAGGTTAGCCTTTACTCTGTGGTTGCAGAGCACGGTAGTTCGATGACTAAAGTCCACGCACCAGCTCGACGCCTATCGAGGCTATATCTGCACGCAAGCAAACAGAATTCGAAATCAAGAAGAGGCAGTGCTGCGAAAAGTATTGTATCTGGACTGGTTTTAGTTTCTAAAGCATGTGGAAACGATGTTCCTAGGTATTGTTTCTGCCAATAATCCTTATTCTTGTTCTTGTTTCGATGAGTTGTTTTACAACCACTTACTCCGTTTTTTTCTAATACAGATTAACTTTCTGGCTCTCGAATTCGATCGTACTGAGAGTAGTTATGAGCAAGACGTTTGGAGAGAGTAAGTTGCCTATCTCTGTCGGACCTGTTATTGGAACAGCTACCGGAACAGCAAGAGATAGAAACGGGAAGAAGAATCCGTCACCACTTAAATGGGAATCGTTCTCCGGTAAGAGTCCTATTCAAGAAAGTTCAGATGATTGGGAGAATCCTCTAACTTTCCTAACTGCATTGGAGAAGGTTGAAGTTTGGATATTTTCTCGAATCATCGAGTCTATATGGTGGCAGGTATTTTTTTACCTCGCATTCTTCACTGTGCTTCCGGAAATATTTCCGTGTCAAGTAATGATATGTCAACAAATCATTTAGCTAAGTAGATTTTTTTTTTGTCTAGACTTTTACTCCACATATGCAGTCGAGCAATGCCAGAGCCGATGCTGATTCTGAATCTAGCAAGTTATATGAAAGAACATCGAGTTCACTTGATCAACGGCAAGTGAACTTCTCACTGGAACTCTGGAAAAAGGCTTTCAGTGACGCATGTGAAAGGATATGTCCTCTTCGAGCAGGAGGACACGTCTGTGGTTGTTTACCTGTGCTCTCAAGAGTGGTACTTCTCTACACTCGAATCGATGTTTTTTCATGTGATTTTGCTCCCTTGAATTGCCTAAATGATTTACGACTTTTTATTTGTTTTTCCTTACGAAGAAACCCCCCTTTTTTTCCGTGTGTACTGATGCAACTCTTTTCATAACTAGATAATGGAGCAATTGATAGCTCGTCTAGATGTAGCAATGTTCAATGCTGTACTTCGAGAATCGGCCGATGAAATTCCAACAGATCCTGTAGCTGATCCTATTAGTGATGCTGAGGTTCTCCCTATTCCACCAGGGAAAGCTAGCTTCGGCGCTGGTGCACAACTGAAAAATGCGGTGAGCATTTTTTATTTATTTATTTATTATTGAAATACCGACTGTTTAATTTGTTTGTTACGTGTGACAGATTGGGAATTGGTCGAGGTGGCTCACTGATCTATTTGGCATTGATGACGATGAAATACTGAAGGATAACTTGGATGATAATGAAGACGACGAGAGACTGTCGGATGACACATCATCAAAGTCATTTCATCTCCTTAATGCACTGAGTGATCTTATGATGCTTCCCAAGGACTTGTTATTAAGCCGTACCGTCAGAAAAGAGGTTTCTTTACTAAGAGCCACAAATTCTATTTCCACTTCCGTATTAATACCCTTATTCGTATTTCACATTTTTTTGTTTTCTTTACTTTTGTTATTAGGTATGTCCTACATTTGGTCCACCGTTAATAAGACGAGTTCTCAACTCTTTTGTCCCAGACGAGTTTTGCCCCGACCCGATTCCTGCAGTTGTACTTGAAGCCTTAAACTCCAAGGTTCCTTCCATCTTCATCATTTTTCTTTATCTCCATGAACAACATTTTACTAAAATACCCTTGGTTTGAAATTGCTTCAATGTAGGATCCGTTCGATTCTGAGGAGGAAGATGGCATTATGAGCTTCCCATGTGGTGCAGCTCGTATTCAATATCAGCCGCCATCAACTGCTTCGGTAGCTAATTTATTGGGAGAAATACAGAGCCATTCTCAGCTGACGCGTAGTAAATCGTCGGTGCTGAAGAAATCACAGACGAGCGATGATGAGCTGGACGAATTGGATTCGCCTCTGAAATCTATCATCATCGACAATTTTCAGGCATCACCGAACAGGGACGGAAGTCGTAGTAGTAATGCTTTGAGGTATCAACTCCTTCGAGACGTATGGATGGACTGTGATTAAAAAACAGTCCGAGATGAGTTGCAATAATTTCTTTGTTTTGTGGATCAATTATGTATTTAGATAGTTCAGAAACGGGAAAAGAAATGCTTCAGATGTTTGTATTTCATTGTCATTTAGCAATAAAAAAAAAAAACATTTCGTTGATTTGTTAACGGTTGTCCAAAAGTGATTGATTTAAATATATAACAAAACGCCCACCGTGGGGCTCGAACCCACGACCACAAGGTTAAGAGCCTTGCGCTCTACCAACTGAGCTAGACGGGCAACTTGTTGGAAAACTGATGAACATTTTATACCAAGACGGCACGTAAAAGTGAAAATGTTCCTTCCTGGACAAAAAAAATAAGAAAAACTCGCCCACCGTGGGGCTCGAACCCACGACCACAAGGTTAAGAGCCTTGCGCTCTACCAACTGAGCTAGACGGGCAACATGCCAACAGATTTAGCTGAAGGTAAATATTCTATCCTTGTTTGAGGTTCTATGTTGTAATTACTCATTGCCTCTAGCTTTAAACATCTAGTTATAATTAATAAATGCAACTTGGGACATCAGTTGCAGCCTTGTAGATACATGATACATCATTGATGTAGGTACGTGTTCAATTACGTCGGTGTGCGGGAAGGCCTCTTGTATTGTTAGAATATTGTCAATCATTACATATTTTTTAGTTTACGAACTAACAAAACATTATATGGATGTAATAACGTATTGTTTATATATCCAACAGCAGTACTGAAAACGAGGTATTTGTTGTACTAATTGCAAGTTGCAACCATTATATTTTGAAGAAAATTTAACAAATCCATAAAGAAACTGCAGATTATATTGTAGCCTTTCATATTTTATGTAATGTGAAAAGGAGTTAATCATATGTTATGTAATGTATTATGTAATGTGAGAACACTCAATCATAATTTTAATTGTGGAATTGGCTTCTTCTATTATTTAATTTTTCGTTCTCCTTTTCAACGCTTGATACATCGTATTAGATCGACTTTAATACACAAATAATTAGGGATGAATATGAACTGAGTCAAGCAAAACGCATAATAATTAATTCAAACTAATATTTTCATTAAATTGTAAAATTATTAAATAAATGAAACCACTAATTCCAAATAATTATATAAAACGTTTGAGGTAATTATTTTTTTAATTTCATCATTCATAGTTGTTGAAATATTATGTTTGAACTCCAATTATTTTAATTTAGTATTTGCTATTTTGTAAAAAAAGAAAAACGTGTTATTCAAATGTATATCTTAACCGTATGGAAGACGTATATATATGGAGATTAATTGATTACTGATATTAATATTAATAATATCACAACAGCCTTCGCAGATAGTTCCTCTTCTTCTGGAAAAATACGCGACAATGCCACGTCATCACTTATTCTTAGCTGGTCAACTATACTTCCTAATAATCCGCGTCCTTACAATTTAACTATAAATAACAACTCTCAAACCAAAACCCCTAACAATTAATCATCACTTCAGCGATATATATAAATTATAAATATACCAGCAAATTAAAATTCTTTTAATTTCAAATCATCAATGGAGAGATACGAGCAGTACGAGAGAGTTTTCAAGCACTTCGACTCCAACGGCGACGGCAGAATATCTCCTGAGGAGCTCCGGCATTGCGTGGCCTCAATAGGCGGTGTGATGACGGCGGATGAGGCGGAGGCGGCGGTGGCGCTGGTGGACTCCGACGGAGATGGGCAGATGTGTTTGGATGATTTCGTGAGGATAGTGGAGGGTGCGGGTGATGAAGAAAAGGCGAGCGATTTGAAATGGGCGTTCAAATTGTACGAAATGGAGGGAAGCGGGTGCATTACACCGGAGAGTTTGAAAAGAATGCTTAGCAAATTGGGTCAGAGGAGTACCGTTGACCAGTGCAGGAATATGATTGCTCGATTTGATATTAATGGAGATGGTGTTCTTAATTTCGACGAGTTTAAGGTTATGATGTCGGCTTGTTGATCGATGCATGGATGGATGTCTACTGTACGATACGACGTCGTTATTTGCTTAGTTAGCCTTTTTCAATATATGTTTCTCCGTCTGCATGTATGTATGTAGATTAATTCACCAATATTGATTGGTCGAGTTTATTCTTTGATTTTATTAATCTTTGATTGATATCTGTATTGATAAAACACAGTTGCTAGCTAGTATTTGTTAATCGATAATACATATATATAGTTGATCACTTCATTTTTCTTCAATATCTAATTATATCTTCCTCATTTAATTTTATTTAATTGCACATCTTTTGAGAGCTAATTACACATAAGCTCCTGTTTAATTTTCAATGGCCGAAAAAGTTTCTATGCTAAAAAAATTAGCACATACCCCTCTTTATTGTTTTTTACAAAGCACATCGCCCCTTTAATAAAATGGTAATTGACTTACATAAAATGACTAAATTAACCTCATGAATTCATCAGCTATAAACAAAATTAAAAAAAGAAAAAAGAAAAAAAAAAAAAAAAAAAGAGAAAACAATATGTAATGTTCCTCTTCACCGTCAAAACGCCAACCACAACTCCCAAACTCACCGCCGTCGTCAGATTCCGCCTCACCTCCCGAATCTCCGCCATTTCATCCTCCGGCTCATCACCGCCTAGACCATCGGTGAAATATTCGCCTCCGCCAACAGCCGATGACCGCCACCAGTCAAAGACCACCCTCAATCAGCCCTGCCCCCTTCCACTATACCGGCACTCGCAATATAGGATTCGCACCCACATTATCCAACCAATGAGTCGAAGGACGAGAGATAAGTGGTTGCAATAGTGAGAAGCTCGCGAATCTAAGCAAAATGGATGAAGTTGAAGAGAAGGGAAGCAATTTGCAACGAAGACTGCCATTTTTTGGTGTGTGTGTTTTGTTTTTTTTTTTTTTTTTACGATGTCTCCATTTCACAAACCAAATAATGGACATCCAAATTATTGTGGGTGGATTGTAGGGATTATGCTTCTCAATTTTGGAATGGTAAGACTTTTAATATGGTTGATGGTGAGGAAGAGGGCCTTTCTAAAAATATTAGTGACTGAATTAAAAAATATGAAAACTTCATTTTGGGCGTGTGGTTTTAGGGTGAATTTGTAATTTGCGGAATATATTTTTAAAGGGTATTTTTTTGTCTTTTCAGTTCCGAAAACATACGCCCAATCGCATATACCGTGAGTGTATCTCAGGTCAAGCTCAGAGGATCTTTATTACCTTTGACTAAATTTCACAAGGGTAGTTATTGCAAAAACCCCCCATCTTTTGATATTATATATAAGAAACTTCACATACGAAAACACAAACATACAGCAGCGGAGCTAAGAATTCAAATCAGAGTGGGGTTAGAATTTACGGGGTTTCAGGGCAGTGCCCAGACTTAGGCCTTGTTTGATTGCTCTTAATGAGCCTCTTAATCACTAATTTGCTGAATCGGTAAGCAATTGGAATATTAAGTGCGTTTGATATTATTGACTGAATGGTTCCATGATGCTCTTCACTATTCAGTCCAAAAGTTGGTGCTGACCGAACAAGTGCTACATCTGAATCAAATCTGCACGTAATTATCCTTTAATAAACTCATATATTCCACATTAACCTCAGGTAATATCCCAACACACTATCACTTGTCTGCACAACTTCCAACTTTTTTACTCAATAAATAAGTTCTATCCTTTTTTCTTTCATTTATCTTAATGAAGTCTAATTATGTTTTAAAATAAAAGGTAATTATAATATATTTTATTCGTGTCAATTTTAGTGAATTTAGTATATTTTCATATTTTAAGTTAATAAGTTTTACTATTACTACCTTTAGTTGCTTAGAGATTACTTTTTAAATTTGTTTGGCTTTTATATTTCATATTTATATTATAATAATGTTAAATACTTGATATTTATTACACATAGAGATGTTTAATGTCTGCAGAAATTTCATAATTTGTTGATTATGTTAATCATGCTAAAAGAATTATATTTATACATATATGTTACTCATTAACAAATACTAGAGTATTTGACCAAGGATATAATAGTAAAATGATATTATTCAGACGACAGAACTTCAGCTGTCAAATGAGCTTAATGATTCAGCATTCAGTATCCAGGCGTAACTCTTAGTCATTCAGATATGTATTCAGCATTCAGCATTCAGCGCTTAATGTTATCAAACACAGCCTTACTCACTCACACCAGTATTCCGTTTGTTTTAATTTTTTTTTTTATTAATTATTAGGCGGTGCAGCGGTTGAGGGTGGATTTGGCGGCAACCGCCACCTGAGTCGGGAACCGACCTAATAATGGAAACGAATAATAAATAATAATAATTATATTTGATTTAGTCAAAATAAATTATCAGCCACGGCGGCAAATATTTAATTATTCAGGCCGCCAAATAAACAGGTGTTAAGTGGGAGAGGCCGAGAGGGAAACAGGAAACTCTCTTCTTCTGAAATTAATTCCAACAATATTACAAGAATCTTCCACAACTTTTCTTCCTGAAACTTCCACAAGTCAACGAGCTAATTTGATTTATATGTATCTTTGATTACGTGTGCGTACGTGTTTATATATATATTAAATAAATAGATGAATTGAGTTCATTTGTCGTGAGAAAGATATATGAAATTGACTTTTTTTGTCGGTTGCAGCTATAATTAGGAAGAAGTAATTAATTCAGAAACTTGTGGTTTATTCAGCTCCAAGACTGCTAATTTCTTAGCCGCTGATTATGTAATTTCTATGGGCCCGTTTGTTTTTTTATGACGTAATTAAAAAAAAATTGAATAGTATAATATATCTAAAAACGCACAAGATATTTATCTCAAAATTTCCACGCGCGTGGAAGTTAGAACGCACATTGAGTGGCTATGACAGTTGGGGCGGTTATAGACTTATAGTTAGTTACTACTCCCAGTCCTAAATTCCTAGTCTTTCCCCAATTTCTTTGTTTTCTAGATCCTCAATCTTAATAATATTCAATTGATGCACTCAAAGTCAAAAGTACATTATACTCCAACTTTTAGTATAGAAAGTAGTCTCATTCGTCCCAATTTAGATGTCGTTTTGGGTTGTTTTGCACATATTAAGAAAATCAATAAATGCGCATAGATTATAGTAAAAGAACACATAAAGTTACAAAAATACCCTTGACATTAATTGTTTTTCAATTAATTAATTAAGAGTAATTAAGAGTAAAATTAAAAATAATACAATTAATGCTTCATTGGAAATCTAAAATGACAAATAATTTGGGACAAAAAAAACTCCCTAAAAGGACAAATAATATGAGATAGAGTGAGTAGTTGGTCATAATTTAAGATCTAACCGAAACATTTACAATCATAAACCATATATGTTTTTGATGTTTGCAACGACGTAAAAATTAGTAAATTACTCCACACTTTCACTATAAATATTGATACCATATATAAATCAACTTATTCTGAATTATGATCATTTGACTACCACACTCCAAACATTTATAATTTTAGCATTTACATCAATTTGAAATATGTAAAACTTGGCATCCACACTACAATAATTTGACACCACAACCTATTCATTTATTTTCTTCATTACTTTAAAAAAAAAAAAAAAAAAAAAAAAAAAAAAAGAAAAAACTAGTGTATAAGGGTGGATGTTGTAATGGTGAAGTCAAAATTAGCATTTTCTTCACGCAAAAAAACCAAAATCTTTATAGTAAAAATAAAAATCTTATTACAAAAAATATTTGAATGAAAAAATTTTAAAAAAAGTTTCATTTTTGGTTGTAGTTGATTTATGAAAGGGAAGTAAATGCTAACATTTTAAATACTTGGGGGACGGTTACCAAATAACCGTAGTTGAAAGGACTTGGATGCAAATTATTCAATATTTTAATATAAGACAAATGATGTGTACGTCATTTGACGTCATTGATTACTTATAATACTCCGCGTTTCTTCGAAATCTTAGCCGATGAAAGAAAAACAACAGGCTTCGCCGCTGCTTCGTTTTCTGCCGTACCATCTAATTTAATATTGCCGGTCAACTCCACATTACAACTCCGCGTTACCTTAACTGATAATAACTATACGTACTATAAATATATACGTATGAACCTATATGTATGTATATATCTTCAGACAAATAACAAACTAAATAAATTAAAGTATTAAACCACTTCATAAATCTTTTATACACACCAGTACTTTTGGCGCGCAAATTGATCTTTAAATTATTTCAAAATCCTGTTCAGTTTATATAATCAATGGAGCGATACGAGCAGTACGAGAGAGTTTTCAACCACTTCGACTCCAACGGCGACGGCAGAATATCTCCGGCGGAGCTCCGGCAGTGCGTCTGCACAATCGGCGGTGTGATGACGGCGGAGGAGGCGGCGGCGGCGGTTGCTCTTACGGATTCCGACGGAGATGGGCTGATGTGTTTGGATGATTTCGTGAAAGTAGTGGAAGGAGCTGGCGAAGAGGAGAAGACGAGCGATTTGAAGGCGGCGTTCGGAATGTACGAACTCGAGGGAAGAGGGTGCATTACACCGGAGAGCTTGAAAAGAATGCTGAGTAGATTAGGACAACAGAGGAGCGTTGATGAGTGCAAGAATATGATTGCTCGTTTCGATCTTAACGGTGATGGTGTTCTCAACTTCGACGAGTTTAAGGTTATGATGTCTAGTACGTAGTTGATCGATAATCATATGGATACATATACGACGACGCCGTTTGTTGTCATGTAGTTTTATGTATGAATAATAGATTCATCATTGATTTGTTGAATTTGAATTTGATTTGTATTCTTTGTATTCTTTGTTGTTTGATATTCTTTCTTTATAGTAAATATTAATGATCAATTTTATTTTAATTTCCTTCTCGGTTTTCATATCTTTCGATATTGTAATTTAGAGGTAATTTACTAAATATTTTGGTGCACTAATAATCTTTCAATTAGGAGAGTCGGATATTTTGCAATTTATTGAAAGCCATGTATTTTTTAGACTCGTCTTCATGCAATCTAATTGCACTCCATTAAATTCCGTCCAATTTGTTGCACACCGACAAATTTGCTTCACCACGCTCCCCGTTGCTTCCATCGCCAGAGCTCTGTCACGCAGCCACACACATGTATGCACACATATTCACACAACTACATGCACATATACGGAACCAAACACATGCGACACACTTGCGATTTTGGTTACACTTTTTCCACGCTGCTGATGTAACTAAACTTTGTAATTAAGCTGTGCAAAAATCTTTCTAAGTTGTCTAATTAACCCAAACTTCATACTATAATTTATTTGTGGAATCTTTGTCAATAAATTTTCTAAGATGTTTGTGTAAGCTGTGTAGTGTTTTGTGATGCATCTGGATCTGTTACACTTTTAATTTATTTTAACTAAGTTGTTTGCTTATTAATATAATTGAGTTGTGTGCAAATCACTGTCACGACATCATCGCTACTGTTAGTTTTCCCTAAACAATTCCGTTACGAAGACTCGATTTAGTTTCAGGTTCAGAGCTAGAAAGGGAACAAGAACTTTTAGAAAATAATGCAAAATTCATGTGACCTTAGAAGAATTATAGAAAATATTTTTAAGGGAGCTTCCAATTAATTTCTCCTATAATTTATAAGTAACTTGTCATACAAGTGTTTAGTGGAGAAAATGAGGAAGACGAAATAAATTCCAACTTGAGAAGAAGTTTCTAGAACTTTTCTTCGGGAGACTTAGCACTAATGAGATTGGAATGGATCCCTTTCATTACGGTACACGGAGGAAGAAGAAGAAGAAACGTGGTTTGCATCTTAATTAAAATTTTAAACTTATGGAAATAGTAGGCTACGCCGACAACGTTTTCGTTGAGTTGTTAAACAATAAATAGCGTTTCTAGTTTGTACACATTTGTCTTTCTTTAACTTTGACTAGTTTCATGAACAATGCCCCTCGTTTTCTTTTTCTTTTTTTTTAATACAAAATTATGTTATAGAAAATTAAAATGGTGACGTGTACTTATATGCACGCGCGTGAACGTAACTTAGTTAGGGACTTAGGGCGGTTATATTAAAATTAAATTTCCGAATTTAATTAATTGTTAATATTTTTTTATTTAAAAAATGTTAATTCCGAGATAGGATCATCCATTTCAATATCCACACAACTAGATGCAAAATTTATACTAAAATATAACAAATAATAGTCAATAGAAAGTCCACCACGTCCAACCAATAAGAAATGAGTTAATTGCATATACCACCCCTGTGTTATCTCTAATTGTCAAATACCCACTGTCAAAGAAAAATTCACCAAAACCCCCCTGTGTTAACAAAGTCAGGGCATCGAGACCCCTGGAGGCAAATCGTGTCACTCACTCGCGGGTTGTGCGATTTTTTATGTTATTTTCACGTGAAATGTCATAATTACCCCTTTAATAAATTAAATAAAATCTGAGTGGTTAAATTATGAATAACCTACATTTTGAGGACCAAATTGTAATTTCTAAAATTAAAAAATAATTAAAAAAAGAAAAGAAAAGAAGAGTCGTCTTCTTCCTCGTTCCGGGTCGGCCAGCCACCACCGGCGTCTCAGCACCACAGCCACCCACTCCTTCTACAAATTTCTCGTCCTCGACAACGCCGGCGTCTGGAGCCACCAATTTTTAGCGACATAGAGAGTTGTGTACGGGTGAAGATGGTTAAAAAAAATCTTCTCCTGCTCGCCGCCGCCGTCGCCGCCTTTGTTGCTGAGATCGAGGCTGCCACCGGCAGAGTGAAACTGGGGAGAGAGGACTTCGCGAATTTGAAAAGATTTTGATTGGTCGTGGGTTGCGGATTTGGAAGGAAGATGGTGGTGTAGGAGGGGTAAGCTGGTGGCGGGGCTCGAGAAATGTCGATGCTGTGTTTAACTGGGTGGGGGAAGGGAAAAGAAGACTTTTTTTCTTTTTTTTTGTTTCTTTTTTTTTGTCTATATGTAATTTAAATGTAAAAGAATGAAAACTAAAAACATATAAAAACTTTTAATATCACAAACTAAAAAAAAATAGTATAAAATTAAAATTAATTGTGTTATAAAATTTGGTAAAAATTAAATTAAGTACAAAGTTTAGAAAATTAATACATAAAATATTTATAAATCAAATATATTTTACTAATTGCTGAAAAAACCCCTAGGGTATTTTTGTAATTTTACTTGCAGTCAACTCATAAAAGCACAGTAGGTACAGTGAGCTTCGAATTTGTTAACACAGGGGGTTTTAGTGAATTGTTTTTTGACAGGGGGTATTTGACAATTAGAGATAACACAGGGGTGGTATTTGCAATTACCCATAAAGGAATAAGTAAATATTTTAATATAATGAATTGATGATGTAGGTATTGATGACGTCATTGATTACTCGTGTATCCGCCGTGTTTCTTCAAAAGGAATATATATCTCAACCGACCATAAACAATACAACAGGCTTCGCCGCTGTTTCCTCTCCTCTCCGCCGTAGTACCACCACATAGTAATTAAATCACCGGTCAACTACACGTACTACTCCGCGTTACTATAGAACTATAACTACTATATATATATACTACACCAGAAGGCCAAATATAATATATCGATCTTCAATTCAAACAAACTTCACTTCAACAATACATAAATTAACCGGATCACATAAATCTTATAATAATATTCCAATTTTCGCGCGCGAATTCTTGGATTTTACTTGTTTATAGATATATACAATGGAGAGGTACGAGCAGTACGAGAGAGTTTTCAACCACTTCGACTCCAACGGCGACGGCAGAATATCTCCTGAGGAGCTCCGGCACTGCGTGGCCTCAATAGGCGGTGTGATGACGGCGGCTGAGGCGGAGGCGGCGGTGGCGCTGGTGGATTCCGACGGAGATGGGCTGATGTGTTTGGATGATTTCGTGAGGATAGTGGAGGGTGCTGGTGAAGAAGAAAAGGCGAGAGATTTGAAATGGGCGTTCAAATTGTACGAAATGGAGGGAAGCGGGTGCATTACACCGGAGAGTTTGAAAAGAATGCTTAGCAAATTGGGTCAGAGGAGTACCGTTGACCAGTGCAGGAATATGATTGCTCGTTTTGATATTAATGGAGATGGTGTTCTCAATTTCGACGAGTTTAAGGTTATGATGTCGGCTTGTTGATTGACGACACTACGTACATACGATACGACGTCGTCACTAGCTTTGTTCTGTATGTGTAAGTATGTAGATAATACTTGAGCATTGATTGTACGTGACAATATTGGTTTGTTCTTTGACATTCTTTTTGTGGGAATTATATTTTTCCTCACCACAATTTATAGTATACACACTTCAATTTAGAGGTTATTTGTTAATAATTTATATTACTCAGTATTGATGGCATGCAATACATAATTAATACATATTTAATATGATAATATTTGAAAAATAAAAGAGACAAGTATGTACTATATTGGAAATGACTTACGATATATGGGCTAGATTTGACAAAATGGGCCAAATTTCGTAATCGAGTTGGATCATTAGAGATCTAAAAGACTCATCTAGGGCCCAAATAAATAGCCCACCGCCCTTTGTTAAATATGTTTTCAATCCTAAATTAATTAGTTGATTAAGGGCCGTTCGGTTACCGCTATAAGGTTCTACTGACTAAGTAGTAGGGGTTAGTAACATGTTCGGTTGATAAGATTCACACTTTTTCAAACCCGCTACTAAATTCAAAGTCCGCTATTAAATGCTACTATTTCATTAAATTAGTAGCACCCCTCCCCTGTGATTAATTTAATAGGGGTGACTAAAAGGGAAAAATACAATTTTATCCTTCAAATTATATTTTATTATTATAAACTAAGTGGTTTTATAGACAATTCATATATAAAACTAATTTTAACAAATTTAATAGAAAATCTAATTTAAGAAACCGAACATGCTACTAACTAAAAAATTAATTAGTCAATAGGGAGTTAATCCAATCTAATCCAATATAGATAACCGAACGAGCCCTAAGTCCCAAACTTGTGGTTTATTTGGCTCCAACACTACTCTGCTACTTACACATTGGAAAGATAATGTAAACTAATCCTTTCTTCTTTGTACAACTTCATTTCCGTTGACTTGCTACCACTTTGACCACTTCCAATGACCATATTTTTTTAATCACTAGGCCTAGACATTTATAAAATATATATATATATATATATATATATATTGCAATAAAACATTTATTTGAATCTTGTCTTTTGAACTCCATTTCATAACATCTATACGAAGTCAATACAATACCAAAATCCACACAACAAAAAACTGAGCACCATTTCTAACATTGTGTGATATAAAAGCAACATTTAATAAAGAAAAAGAAAAAGAAAAAGTTTCACATCCCTTTTGCATCTGCATTATTAATATTATTATTATTATTATTATGAACAAGTGGTCTGCAAGAACTCTCACACACATTACTCAACTGATGACCATCATCACCACCACCACCACCTTCCGGCAACTCCTCCACCAATCTCAGCATCTTCTCCACTATTTCTCCCGCACTCGGCCTCGAACACGGCTCCTCCTCCACGCATGATCTCGCCAGATTCGCCAGCATCACCGCCCCGTCAAACGAATAATTCTCCCCCAATGCACCATCTATCCACCCCCTCAATTCCTCCACATCTTCTTTTACCAAAATGCCCTTTACCTCATCACACAGCTTCACCGAATCCCCCTTCTCCTCATCCCATTTCACGGGTGGTTTTCCGGATAAAACCTCGAGTAATATCACTCCAAACGCAAACACATCGCTACTTGCAGACATTGCACCTTCATTAGTGATGCACTCTGGTGCTAAGTACCCTTTGTTTGAAGATTCTTGATTTTCGATACATTTGGACATACCGAAGTTGCCGACTTTCGCACTGAAATCTTCGTCGAGGAATATGTTCCGGCTCTTTATGTTCGAATGGACGTAACTAGGATTCATTATATGGTGCATGTACTGCAATGCAGTTGCCACATCTAGACATATTTTGACCCTTTGATTCCATGTCAAGAAACAGCTGCACGAGGCGATGAAATGGCTCTTGATTGCTAATCCACCGTGTATCCAGTCCTTTAAAGAACCATTTCTCGCGTACTCGAACACTATGTAAGAATCAGGACAGTCCTCTATCAGACAGGTACCCAACATTCTTATTGTGTTTGGGTGGTGGTGAATTCTCTCGTAGCAAATCTGTTGGTCGATTTTAGCGATTGTATCAAGTGGGACCCGTTTTATGGCCAAGTTTTTCCCGTTGAGCCGGCCGTGATAAACGGATCCCTCGATTAGATTGTTGGAGTTGAAATCTTCCGTTGCCTTTTGCAGTTCTTCGAATGTGTAGCTTTCGGCTCGTGTTTTGTGGGGGGTGGTGGCCTCCCTAGTTTGATCTTCAAAATTGTATTGAGACCCCTCGAAGGAGACTTTCTTATCGCTCGTTGTTCGGACACTTAGACTGAGTTGCTGCAGCTCTAAATCACCGTTTTTTGCTGGATCGTCTTTTTTTCTCTTCATTTGAATGAAGGCAAAGGCTGCACCAATGGCTATGCATGCAAGAAGTGCGATTATGGCGATAGCTATGTAAACTCCAATCATCCACATTTTGTGCTTTCTCCTCTTGTGGGAATCTCTAACTCGAATATTTGATGAGGGTTGTGCCAAGAAACCGAAAAAGGGCTTGTCTTTAGATGGAATCAGAAGAGTTGAGAATGGGACAAGGCTGTTGTTGTTATCTTGTCTGAAAACTGATGTTGAGTGTCTGTTGTTAGCAGAAACTAAGGTTTCTTGGCTGACATTGAACTTGGAGGCAAGTTCGGCTAGTGTGTCGCCTTGCTTCACAGGGTAAGACAGCAAGAAGTTGCTCAAATCAAGTGAAGAAGGGCAAGCACATTTGAATGGGATTAAAAGATTGATTTTTTCTACAAGATTCCACGGGGAAACACTCGGGTTTTTCTCCTTAATCGCGTTGCAAGTTGTCAACCCCTCTAAAGAATCGACAATCTCGTAAAAGCTCTCACCTTTAGTTGTGCTCTTTGTCACTTGTGCTTCGAAAAAGCCACTATTGCTGTTGCACTCGCAGTCAATTGGGATCAAAATTGGCTGTTCGTTGGAAAAGAATTCGGTGTCCTTCGAAAAGCCATTAGCTTCTAGAAGGTCGGAACGGGCAATGCCTAAATAAGAGCTCAGATTTGAGAGAGAAGAGTAGTGGGAATTAGCACGAAGAATAGCAAATGTATTGCAGTTTTGCTGAGGCTTTTTTGGATCACAAATGTACTCTGGTTGAGATGTTGTGTCACAGTTAAGCAAGTTTTGGCCAATCACCGATAAAATTACGAGATTGAACGAAACAAAAGCTCTGAGTTCGAGTTTTTTCGTGATCATATTTTTTTTGACAATTTGGAGAAAGAATTACATATGCCTGCCCACTTGATGAGATGGCTAAGTTAATATATAATGTAGTAGCAACTTTTAAGGTTGGGGGGTGTTTAATTAATTTTGGATCTGTAAACAAGGTGGTGTATATAATAAGAGGGAATTCAGGGACAAGATTCTTGGATTTAGCAGTAATTAATAATAATCTATTTGAGTTTGATTCTTGCTGATTGGTCGACCCTTTGATTTTATGAAGTGGTAATTTGGGGTGGCTATTCATCCCAAGTAAAGATTTGTTCTTGTTATGGAAGTGATGATGAATATTCTTTGAACATGTGAAATTCTTGATTTATGTATGGCTCAATATTCAGTGAGAATTTGAAAGTTTTTTGATAAGGAATTTTGAGATTTGTTTGTTCCCAAATCCACATCACTCGGTCACTTCTAATAAGGTACATTGAATATGGTGATCACATTCATGTATAACTTTCTGAATATAAATCAGAGGCACAAAAAAAAAAAAGAAAAAAAAAAAAAAGAAAGACGAAAAGTCCCATCGTAAAGTTCATAGTGCATTTGCAGGTGATCAATTCTTCTTTTTTTTTTCTTTTTTTTTTTTATCTAAATGGATACAAATATTACGAATGTGGAGAATAGATGGAAAAATATTCACGTGCAAGGCTTCAAAACATAACACACATGCACGTGAGGGGGTGTATTAGGGATATAAATATCAAATGATTTACTTACACTGGTATTTCAATACGCAGACATTTGACATGATTCGTGAATTAGACATGTACGAAGACGGTCGAAAGGGAGATTGATGAATGTTACGTGGCAATGAGGATAAGAGTATGAATGCACATAGACATAGACAAGAAATTATAGTGTCTGTTAAAGCAGATGCAGTATCGAAGCAAATAGATACAATATAGAGAGATAGATTAGATGGGCCATAATATTATCATCTCCACTAATTCGTAGATTTTCTCATTCCTATCTCATCCATGATTTTCCTTTTGCTTATCGAACTAATGATTATAATACACAGATATATATCGAGTGTCGACAACAAACAAACAAATCCCGAAAAGTAAATGTCCACAAGAGAAATTGATAGTACACGAGGAAAGACCTAAAAGAAGTGCGCCCTCTACGACAAAATATAACCAAAAAAATGAAATGAATCGGGCTCGAACTAAACAGATCTGATACTAGCTGATGATCATTTCTTTTTTGTAATAATAAAGTTGTAAAAGATAATGTAATAAACTCCTTAAAGCAATTTATTATTTAACTACTCTACTGTAATTTCTGCAATATTCTCTACCACCATAAATAAAAATAATAGCAAATGACTATTTGATTTTCATTTTTTATCTTACTTTTTTGGATTGAACTGAAAAGTTGAAACCAGTGGATTACATATTCTATTCAATGCCTAAAAGGGCTATATTATTGACTCAGAATATTTTGTAAAGTGAAGGCCGAAAACCACTTTTCATGGATCAAAGCCCAATGTGTGTCTCTGTGTGTGTGTTGGATGCAGTGCAGAGAGGGGTGGGGTGGGGGAGTGCACGTGACAGCACGTGCATACCAGTCCAATACATCCTCATACTAAATACTATATTCTAAATGATTATATCAAATTAATCCAATTTGACAACTGGATATCGGAATAACATTCACGGGGATTGATCACAAGCTTGAAATTTCTTACCAAAAACCAATGTTCCAATAATTTATTTAAGATACAATCTTTATCGGCAATTGATCACAACCTTATAAATAAAAGACGCAAATGCAATTCATAATATAATAAAAAAACATACACGATGAGGAGTGACCAATTACTTCGTTCGTGTATGCTTCGTATCAACTAACTGGTTGGGAATCTTCCACACTCTTCCTCAGTAGTGATATAACTTGGGCAGGATCCGGAGCTCCAAAAACGGAACTTCCGGCCACAATGCAGTTTGCTCCTGCTGATGTGGCAACATCAATAGTTGAAGGTCCTAAACCACCATCCACCTACAATTATGTAATAATCCCTCACTTAGATAGTTCAAACAGTAAAATCGGACAATCTTAGACATTAAATACTAAGGATTGTATGAACTGACCTCTATATCAAGTGATGGGTACTTTGTCCGTAGAGCACGTACCTGAAAACCCATTTGAAAATCATATATTTAGAGGAATATGTTGTAAAATTGATGATGATGAATCACGAACGAGACTAGTTTATGGACCTTATCCATCATTTCAGGCATGAACTTCTGCCCGCCAAATCCAGGTTCGACGGTCATAATAAGTACCATCTCCACAGGATCTTTGGCTTCAACCTGCCAATCAAGAATAATGATGAATAAAAGATATATTTTCTTGTAACAAGTCTCGTGCAATCATCAATTAATCCACTTTTTGGAAGTCAAGGATATGATAATACCAGTGGGTACACTTTCTCAACAGGGGTTCCAGGCTTTAAGGAGACACCAGCCTTCATGCCCTTTGACTTGATCTCTTTTACGAGTTCTTGCCAATTATCTGCGCATTTTTCAGCATCCAGTTAAAATGACTGTAGCACCTAAACACATTGAGTTATTGGTTCTTGTTCATATTCTTCACTCAGAGTTTGTAAGCAAGAAAAATGTGAACTCGATTAAAAATTTGAAGGATGGGAGGATAAGTCACCAACAACAAAACTCAAACCTTCACAGACTTCGACGTGAAAAGTGAAACCAGAAGCACCAGCTTTCGCAAATGGTTCGACGTAATCTAGTGGATTTGTGACCATTAGGTGGCAATCCAAATAAGCACTGAAAAATAAAAAATGTCAATGTTTGTTCACGATCAAACATCAACACCGAATAGCCATAAAGCTAGGATTGGAGTTTGTATGCGAGGAAAATGAGAGAGGTTAATTTACTCTGTGTGCTTTCTGAGACTCTCGATAACTGGAGCACCAATTGTCAGGTTCGGCACAAAGTGACTGTAAATCAGGAAGCACAAAACTTGATTTAAGTTATTGAAAAAGGTAATACACAGTTAAAAAAATAAAGTATTTCCCCCTTGATATCTGAGCATTACGAGAGATGAATTGAATTCTTGAACTGAATAACAACCTACCCGTCCTGCATTGAAACAGTGAATATAAACGAATATCAGAAACAATAAATAAGTTATTTGTAGTGCTTAATCGCCATAAAAACCAACAGGAAATCGATACTAGATGCAAAATTCAAGGTGCGCGGAACAGGCATTAATATTGATGTTGTGCAATATGCATCTTCTTATATGTAAATCTCAGACGTGTAAGCTAAAAGATACACCTAGGAATGATGGTTACAAACTTTACAAACTTCTATATGCATTACAAAATTGTCCAGTGTTCCTAAGTGATTAATAATTTTTAACTAAATATACGTAATTGAGCAACATTTCTAAACTTTCACTACTCATACAAATCAAAATGATAAGGTTTGAATCCGTACAACAACACTATCCATGGAACTGCAATAGAAAATCTAATCAAAATTCGAATATACTTTGATTTCATAACTACTGTCTGCCTAGTTATCGACTTTCTTCAAAATTTCAATTTAGAAAATAATACTAGTATACATATACTCAAAACATATTATATATACGTAGCGAACAATACAATCATCTATATCTATACAGCTATAGTTGAGAATTGAAAACAAAAAATAGGGAATAAGAAAAAGGAGGTACCATAATGTCCATGTGAAGCCAATCGGCGCCGCAGCGGAGCATCCTCTCCGCCTCCGACGCCAAATTAGAAAAGTCCGATGAAAGCATCGACGGCGCTATCTTCGCCTTCACCATCTCTGACTCTGACTAACAACGACTCAACTCAGTTCAGCTCACCAAAACTGTAACAGAATAAAAAAAAACAAAAAAAAAAAAATCAAATTAACCTCTTCCTAGAACAGAATTTCATGAATTCATCAGATGCACTACGCCACTTTGTTTACCTGTGCCTAAATCCGCAGTTCCCCTTAGAATTTTATTTTACCAGATCATTTTCTTATGTTGATTTTGCCTTGGTGGGTTGGTTTGGTTGGTGGTGTGGGGTAGTTTTTTCAAGTTATATTGGGCCTTAAATTTATTCAATTCAACCCAATAAAGCCTAATGCAAATGGGCCCAGCCCATACATTATATTTTTATTATAAACCTTTTTTTTTATCGTTATTTACAAAATTAAAATCAATTACAAAAACTCAATTTATTTTCTAGAACGAGTTTCCAACAAATTTTGACATTTTAAACAGTTGATAATTTAAGTTGGGTTATATTAATATATAGTTAAGTAATGAGTAATGACAATTGAGAAAGCTACTACATCACATTGGTTCTAGTTAGAAACTTTGTTTAGGAGTTGTTAATTATTCCATTTTTTAATGTAATTAATTCCACCTACCAACGATCTATAATTCTAATCTATATCATCCACGCATCAATTATTTGTCTTTTCTTTTCCATTAAAAAACAACATTATGTATTGTGGTGGGGCATAAGTTTGATTTTTCCTTTTTGTTATAATAAATATTATTAATAATAATAACTTTTCTTGCAATATCCGATGTGATGTCGGCCATGACAATCCAATATCTATATTTCATGTTTAAATTAAGGTCTCTCTAAGATTTTAGTACAAGGTATTTTTATTTCATATACATTATATGTTTAGTTTATATTAATTGCGTTAAGCAAATTACGATATCAATCATAAATTTCTATCATTTTTTTCTTTTAAGAAACGTGCTTCAAATTGAATTCATTACCAATTCAATCAACTCTGAACCGGTGTTAATTACGTTTATTTTATTTTTATAGTTTTTTTTCCAATAAAAAAAACTGCAACCAACCATATAAGTATGTTCAATTTTTAAATCAAATTCAAATAAGATTTTAATAATCAACTCAAATTATTTAGTTTATTTTACACCCTATATGTATTTTGCCAAAGTAAATGAAGCCGATTGTTGCAAAAAGAATAAAATTATTTATTCAAATATAGAATAAATTATATTTTAAAGTTAATATTATTTCCTTTTAATTTGCTAATTCAAAATATGAAAAGTCAAATGTTAAATAGCTTGATTAATTTAGTTGAACAAAGACTCATAACGTGCCTGCAGTTTCTATAATCATAAAGGCATAACATTGCATTATACTTTAGTTAATTATTACCTTAATTATTACTACCTCGTCATATTATATAATAATAAATGTGTGAACAATGCACACTTTTCTATTTTTCTAGGAATCATTTGATTTTTTAATTTTTTTTAAATATATATATATATATATATATACACGTAAATGTATTCTTTTTTCATGACTTCTATCACTATTTATTTCAATTTCATGAATAAGGTATAAAAATTAATAGTTATCAATTTCTTTTAAAATATATAGAAAATAAGTTTACTCTTCATAGATATTCATCACTATAAGGACTCATTTGGTTATAAATTTTTAGTCGTGACTAATTAGATAACTGAAATTTATTGAATATTTGATGAGTTCAATAATCTTCAACCTACCTAACAATACAATTACAATTTCAAACCAAACTAGACCTTATTAGTTTTTGCAACATTATCTTTATATTCGGTTAATTTTGGCCATAATATTAGAGGTGTGGCTATATTTGGTTAATTTTAGATTATTTTAAGAGTGTATCTCCAAAGGAATAATTTATATCATATTAATCGAATCATGTAGGATTATATATACTATATTCATATTCTTTAACAAAAAAAATAATAATCATATTATATCAATAATGTATGTATTTATAAGAAGATAATATACATTTATATTAATACACAAGGAAATAATGTCTTACGACGAGTATTTATGAGATATATCTTTCACATATATTTAGCCACGCACGTAATTTGTTATAATAAAATAATTAATGATGAATTAGCCATAACGTATTTGATTAATTAATATAAATATATTATTATAATGAATGGATATTTTTCATCGGCCCCTCTTCACGGTCCCCCCTTTTACCTTCTTCTCACTTCTACTTCACTCTCTCTCTCTTGATTTTCTCTCTCTTAAAGAGTCATTTTCTCCCCGTATAACCACTAAACCGAGGGAGGTGAAGAAGAAGAAGTAAAATACTATTCTCTTTTGAAAATGGCTGCTTATTGATAAATAGGATTATATACATACAATTTTGAAAGAGTTTTTTTGGCAGCGTAATTATAATATATTGGGGAGATGGGTTCGTGCGTTTCAATCCACAGAAACCCGGAAGCCGCGATGAAGCTCCGTTTTTCAGTCGGGTCTTCTAAAAAGGAGGAACTTTTGATCCCTTCTCCCGTCAAGGAGAATTCCGATAAAGTCAACGGCGGTGATCGCGCCGTTTCTGACTTGCCACTCAAGTCTCGATGGTCGTCTCCTCGTTTTCGCGACGTTGCTGGTATTCTCTTTTTTTTTTTCTTTTCTTGTTTCTTTTTTTATGGTCTCTAATTTGATTTTGTTTCCTATACGTGTGTGTGTGTGTGTGTGTGTGTGTGTGTGTGTTTCTATGTTTTTGCTATAAATAATTGTTCTAATGTGTTTTAGCCCAGAATTTATGATGGTCACTTTTAGGTAGTTATGTTGTTTGAAATAAATATAAGAATTCAAACATCATTTGATTGTTGGTTTGTTTGTTGCCTGATGCTTGTTGTTTTGGGGTTTGTTATTTCATATTTGATTAATCTTGACTTTTTATTTGTTCAAAAAAAAAAAAAAAGATGCAATTTTTAATTTGTCTGGAAATATAAAGTTAATGGTATTAATTTATGATTAGGAAAGGCGAAGAAAGTTTCGATTACACGGCTTATCTTAGAGAAACAATCTTCTGAGATAAGTGGCTTGGAAATAATTATTGGAATATTGATGTTCCATTATTGATTAGGTGGTGGTCCAACTGGCTCGATAACTCCGAATTATTATTCTGCATTATGGGAGTAGTAGCCCTCTATATATTATTTCAATTTCTTTTCTAATTCCATAATTCCAGACATACATTTAATCCTCTACCGAATCAATAAGGCCACATCGTGTCATTCAATTATTTTTGGCCAGTATGGGTGTTGCATGTCAACTTGTTTTGTTTTTGTTCTTGCTGTTTATTTATTACGAACTTCATTTTGGAAAGATAAATATCTCTATCTGCGATAAGGGTCGTTGAAAGAATTTGTTTTTAATCTAAGCAACATGTTAATCGATGAATTTCCTTAAATATGTTTAGTTTCTAATCATTCTTAAGTGGACAAATAATGGTGAGAAATCTAATGCTGAATACAGAGTCATGTGATGGATCTTGATTATGTGTCGAATTTGAGGTTACTATTACAATTTTGCTTGTTAAGCATGTGAACAATGCGATAAATCTTGATTATGTATAGAGATTGTATATTTTAAATCCATGTTGCACGCCGTTTTATGAGGTTGTGTCAATTTCTTGCAGGTAGCAAAGACGAAGCATTCTTCGATTCCCAACCATGGTTAGATTCGGATTGTGAAGAGGACTTCTTAAGCGTTAACGGCGGTAATTAATTAGAAATACTCTACTTCACTCGAAAAACACTAAATGTTCCACAAAACTACTTAGATGATGCATAATAATTAGTCCATGTTACCCTGTAAAATGAAACGAGCTTTTTCCATTACATGATAACATAGTCTTTTTTTCATCCACTTGAAAAAAATAAATGCAGATTTCACCCCGTCCCGTGGAAGTACACCTGTCCACCACAAATTCTCGTCGGCAAATGTATCAACTAAGTCCCTCAATATGGAAGAAACATTTGTCTCTGTAGATGAAGAATCTCCTCCCGGTAATAAGAAGAAGAGGCTTTCGGATCTGTTCAAAGAGAGCTTGCGCACTAACCAGTACGTAATAGTTGAGGAAAATGCAGCAAAAACCGATATTGGAGCTAACAGTACTAATGGAGTGCTCAAAACAGAGGAAGAATCGGTTGAGTCTGCACAGTGTTGCCTTCCGAGTTTACGCTCGAGTCATAGCTTTGATGAAAAGAAGAAGAAAACGAGCCCTTCTGCTGAAAGATGAACTCTGTTGAATTTTATTTTTGTTGGAACTATGTAAATGGTGAGAGGTTTCACTCACTTATATGAAACAATCAAATACATATTTATCACTCACTACAAGTACGTTTTTATTGTAAAGCACGAACATATTTTGTTCTCCGTTATGGGGATCGTTTTTCGCGAATAAGGATGTGAATGAGGTTAGTAAAAGTTAATTTTATATATCAGATTGTTTAGATAATTAATTAGTTTTAATTGTATGAAATACAGAATGAATACAATAGAGAAGGAAGTGAATTGTTTGAAGGGATACATACATAGAGGATTGCAGAAGCAGACAAATAATGAAACTGAAATATGTATTATGAATTATCAACTCCCATCCCATGCAATAAAAGTTGATGTATCTAATTGTAATCAGTTCAGTTTCAAACGTCATAATCATCTTTAATTTGGCATTCTTCTTTTCTTGCAAGGCATCCACCAATCGGTTACTATTTTTCGTTTTTCCATTCCCAATTTTGATATTTTTTTTGGATTGAATTGGAATTGGAATATATATAAAATTTCGAATTTCGACCTCATTTTAATTTCTGAAAGTTGCAATTCTAATATTGATATTGTTATGTATTTTATTTCATAATGTGAATAAAAATTAAAATTTCCAATATCCGAAATTCGTAGAATTCTAATTTTCAAAATTTCTGATTTTTGTAGAGAAATTAAAATTAATTTCCACTTAAAAATGATGTCTTTAGAAAGTGCTAGACGCTCTGGTTCGTCCCATTTCCACCTCTAATATTATAATTTAATCTAAATATAATTACATTATTGAATAATTAATTTCTCTATTCTCCCTTAAAATGAAAGATTTCTGTATTTTGTTTTGGAAATGGATTCTCAAATCCTTTTTGCCATTTAGAATTGAAATAATCTACATTCATATTAATTATGGATATTAACTTTAAAATCTTCCTGCATAATTTAATAAGATATATCTAAAAACAAAAAAAAAGTAAAAAGAAGGGAGTATATAAGTGGGACCAGGCCCATTCCCTTCTCCCTGTAAAACAAGTGTGAATAAAGCCCAGAAAATGTCACTATTCAGTTGAGTCAATTATTTTCCTACTATTTTCTCTACACCTTTCACACTCTATTTTTTTAATTTTAAATATATTTTCTTTAAATTTTAAATATATATTGTTTTCTGTATAAATAGACACCAAATTCCAAGTTCTAGAATAGATATAGAAGCCTATAATATATATATACACACTCTGGAGTTCCAGCTTATAAACAAACAAAACAAATTAAATAAGAAATGGAATTGAAGATGTTGAGAAATTTAATTATTTTGTGCTTCTTTTCACTACCAATTATAACAATACTACCTTATCAAGCATTCGCCTCCAGCCGCGGCGTTTCTCTTCCACATGAATTCCGCGGTGGTGCGCCACTGGCCGGAGCATGCTCCGCCGCCATCTCCGTGCACGGTTACAAGTGCCAGGAATTCGAAGTGAGGGTTAATCAAGAGCTAATTATTATTTAATAGGAATTGGATTGATAGTTAATTAACTAATTAATTTTTTTTCTTCAGGTGACTACTGATGATGGGTACATATTAAGCGTGCAGAGGATTCCGGAGGGCAGAGGCGGCGGTGGTGGTGGGCCGAACCGGCCACCGGTTTTATTGCAACATGGGGTTCTTGTGGTAAGTACATACATATATATTCGTCGCCGCCGCGTATATATATTTTTGTGTGCTAACTGCTAAACTTAAAACCATCTCCCCTAAATTATAATTAGCATATGTATGTATATAAATATAGATGGAGTTTTGTTGTGTATGTAAACGTTTGTGGTCGTAGAGAGAGAGAGAGAGAGAGTGAGGAGAGAGAAAATGTGAAACCGACAAGAAGTGTTTTCACTTTTCATTAAAAGTACTATTTGCAATAATTTAGATAATTACATTGGTGGGACAATATAATGGTATTGATTCCCACTCTCTCTATTCTTCTTTATACTAACTAGTACTAAGATTGATTATTTATATATACTAGTGTTAATTAAAAAGGGGATTATATTTGGTTGATTAAATGAAAGATTATTATCCTGAGTTCTGAATTAAAAAGAAAGATCAGATATAATAATTATAATTTATAGATGTCATACTAACAGAAGATCGGCATATATATTAATCTTATGTCATGTAATGCAACCAACTTAGAGAAATCTAGAACAACAAAAAATATGATGTCAAAGCTTAGAGAAGCATCCAAGTACCAATTAGGTAATTTGATATATATCAATTATTTATGAATTTATGAATATACATGCAAGTTGCCACGTAGCATGGGCGTGATTTGTCTGAACGCAGAACGTGTTAGCCAATACAACACACTCACTGACTGACTGACTGAGATATATATAATATATGTCTGTTGTTAGAGATAAGTACCGGGCCGGTAAAATATCAATTAATCCGTACAGCATGCAATGCATCATCTAATATTCTTATTATTATTATACATCGATCCGTTTCCTTTTTTCTTATATATATATTTTTGCAGAGATGGGATGAAATATTAGTTTTGGTATTTATTTATTTAATTAATTAATTGTGGGCCGGGGAAATAAAATGACGCATGCAGGATGGGATGACGTGGGTGATGAATTCTCCAGAAGAGTCGCTGGCGATGATATTGGCGGATAATGGGTTCGATGTATGGATCTCCAACATCAGAGGAACCCGGTTCAGCCGCCGCCATCTCCTCCTTGATCCTTCCAATCCTGTAAGCACCATATTATATTCATTTACACACACACACACACACACACTTCAATTTATTTTATGATGATGGAAAATAATTAAAGTATATGCAAGAAAAATACAATTTTACTTGTGTTGTTAGTATGTGATAACTATTACTACAGAATTAGCAGCAGTCTGTCACATTACTCAGAATTCCCGTGATTGTTTAGTGGCTGTATGTATAGGTTTCCCCTCTTTCTAAAAATAGAATAAATTGATTTATCATTTATAGATATTAAATTAAAGAAGCAAAAAGAAAATATATATATATCAAGTAGTAGTGTCTGCATGTGTGAGATATATATATACTATTTAATTTACGCGCACACGTGTGGGAATAGGAATACTGGAACTGGACATGGGACGATCTGGTAACGCACGACTTACCATCGGTGATCGAGTTAGTTTTCAAACAAACCGGTCAGAAAGTTCACTACGTCGGCCACTCAATGGTAATTAATCGTCATTATTAATTCATTATCATTATGCATGCATGTGTATATATATATAATTAATGTAATCAACTAATGTGATTACAGGGAACTCTAATAGCACTGGCATCATTCTCACAAGGAAAACAAGTAGACAAAGTAAAATCAGCTGTTTTGTTAAGCCCAATTGCCTATCTCAGTCATATGACCACTGCTCTCGGAGTTCTCACTGCCCGAGCTTTTGTTGGTGAAGTAAGCAAATTCGTACATTTTTTGTTTTTTATAATTTCGACTCTTGTCTATATATATATATATATATATATATATATATATATATATATGATCTTATAAATAAATAAAGTCTAATGTTCCGTGGATTTATTGACAGATCACTACAATATTCGGACTTGCAGAATTCAATCCCAAAGAGTAAGCCTCCAAAACCTGAATCTTAATTAGTACGAACCACCTGCTTAAACGTTTGTAGTTAATTATGTGGACTTATTTACGACAACACGGCTCGATTTTTTGTTGTTTCACAGGGAGCCAGTAGCCAACTTTCTGAAAGCAATGTGTGCCAGTTCTGGTATTGACTGTTATGATTTAATGACTGCAGTTACAGGTATTTTATCCATTTATTGCTATTAATATTTAAATTTATATAGATACGAGTATACTACACATAGCAAATGTCATTTCTCGATCGAAATCCTAATTATCTGGCCGGTAATAATTACAGGAAAGAACTGTTGTCTCAATGCATCTACCGTTGAGCTTTTTCTGAAGAATGAACCCCAATCCACTGCAACTAAGAACCTTGTCCATTTGGCTCAGAGTAAGTTTCATTTGTAGTGTACACAAGTTGTTTTTTTCCAATGAAGTAACTTACACTACTATGTATCATTGTCTGAACAAATTTGCAGCTGTTAGAGACGGTACCCTGTCCAAATACGACTACGGAAATGCAAACTTCAATATGTTGCACTACGGACAATCGAAGCCTCCAGTCTATGACTTGGCTAAAATCCCACACGATCTTCCCATCTTCATAAGCTATGGGGGACAAGATTCACTTGCGGATGTTAAGGATGTTGCCACATTGCTCGATAGTCTTAAACTACATGACGTGGAGAAGCTGCATGTGCAGTACATCAAGGATTTTGCGCACGCCGATTTTATTATGGGGGTTACGGCCAAGGATATAGTTTACAATCAGATTATAGCATTTTTCAGAAACCTGCATTGATGATTATTATATATATTATTGATTTTGGGAGTGGTTGGTTTGTGCATGTGTGTGTAAGAGAACTACTCTTGTCAGAATGTGAATCAACCATTCCCAGAAGATTATTCAGATATATAAAGCTTAGTATTAATGGTTTTAATTAGTGGGTATTATATTGATTGATTAATTAATTAATTAAATAAACTGGTGATTACCAAACTTTTCAATCTCCTTTCCTTAGGAAACTTACAGGATCAAGTTCTCTGTCCTAACGTCGCTATTTTAACTACAAAGTCAGTCATAATTAACAGCGTCGAAATTATTAAGAAAAGACGAAGAAAGTGGAAAGTGATGCACCCCGCAGGAGACGGCAGACGAAATATATTCAGCAACTTGGACCATGAAATTGATGTGAACAAGACTTGTATGTATAACCAGAGCTTGACTTGAGGTCAATGCATAAATCAAAATGTCAATTTCCATTTGGTATATATCCCATTTATAAATAACATCATTGAAATAAATCACATCATAAACCAGGTGGATCAAAATATACATACCTCCAATTCATTCTTGCTGGTTTCATAATCACACTTCCTTTTGTTTTCTCCTTTTCTATGAGTGAAAAATGAGTAAGGTTTCATTTCACCGGCTTGTCTTTCTTCTGTTCTTGTCTCAAATTTTGATCCACTTTGGTTCCTGCCTCCGACCGAGATGCAAAGAGAACGAAAAGAAAGCACTTATCAAATTCAAAGAAAATATAATCGATCCGTCGAATAGGCTATCTTCTTGGATAATCGGAGGAGATTGTTGCGAATGGAGCGGAGTTATCTGCAGCAACAAAACAGGGCATGTGATCAAGCTCAATCTTCGGAACTCGTTTCCAAGTAATTCTGCTCTAGGAGGAGCGATCGATTTTTCGTTACTCCAATTGAAGTACTTGACTGATTTAGACTTGAGCATGAACAATTTTGAAGGGACTCAAATTCCACACTTCTTTGGGTCCTTCGCAGAATTGAGATATCTCAATCTTTCTGGTGCATCTTTCAGTGGAAAAATTCCTCAAAATATAGCAAATCTTTCGAGACTGCAGTATTTGGATCTCGGATTTTACGAGCCCGATTCTGTGGAAAACGATCTGCAGTGGGTGTCGGGGCTTCATTCATTGAAGTACCTAAATTTGGAAGGAGTTAACCTCTACACCACTTCATCTTATTGGCTTCAAACCATCAATACTCTGCCTTCTCTCTTGGAGCTGCACTTGCCACAGTGTCAGCTTATGAACCTTCCAAAGTCAATCCCTTTTGTTAATTTTACATCCCTTTCAATTCTTGATCTATCCAATAACGGCTTCAACTCCACAATACCAAAGTGGTTGTTCAATCTTACTAACTTGAAGAGCCTCGATCTCAATTCCAATAGTCTTCAAGGGGAGCTTTCGGATATGTTTTCAGAATTAACTTCCCTCGAAAATTTGGATCTTTCTTCGAATTTCGAGATCGAAGGCCGTCTACCGAAAGGGCTAGGAGTACTCTGTAATTTGCAAAAACTGTCCCTTGATTACAACAGACTCAACGGGAGTATTGCAGAATTCGTTGATGGCCTATCCCAATGCACAAACCCCAAATTGGAAACTTTAAATTTAGGATACAATAATCTTGATGGGAATCTTCCAAGCTCATTAGGCCTCCTCAACAGCCTTCGGTATCTGCTCCTGTGGGGAAATTCATTCACGGTTCGATCCCACAAACAATAGGCAACTTGTCATTATTGGAGGAGCTTTACCTCTCGTCCAATCGAATGGGTGGAGAAATTCCACAGAGCTTCGGCCAGCTCAAATCCATGTCTGTAATGGAGTTACGAGATAACTCATGGGAAGGTATTGTAACAGAGGCCCATCTAGCAAATCTTTCCAGTTTGCGGGAAATATCAATTGGAAGATTTTCGAGGAATGTTTCTCTCAAATTCGACATCAGCTCCGATTGGACACCTCCTTTCGTGCTGAAGTATGTGAAGATCCAAGGCTGCAATTTGGGTCCCAAGTTCCCTTCATTTCTCAGAAACCAAACCGATCTCGAAAGAATTATAATAAATTTCGCGGGGATTTCGGACGTTATACCAGATTGGTTCTTGGAGATGGATTTGGAACTGCACGAACTGGATGTTGCTTACAATCAATTGAGTGGAAGGGTTCCGAATTCACTGCGGTTCAAAACCGATTCGAACGTTGATCTGAGTTCAAACAACTTCGAAGGACCTCTCCCACTTTGGTCGTCGAATTTGACTACTTTGTATCTGAGGGACAACAAATTCTCCGGACCAATTCCAAAGAATATCGGGACAGCAATGCCTTTTATGACAGACATGGATATCTCAAGAAATAGACTGAATGGTACAATTCCTTTCTCTATAGGAAATATGGCAGCATTAACCACTTTCGTTGTTTCGAGTAACTATCTCAACGGTGAAATTCCTGATTTCTGGGATAGTATGCCTATGCTTTACATTGTGGACATGTCGAACAACACTCTCTCGGGTAAAATACCTGCCTCCATAGGCAATCTACTTGGTCTCAAATTCTTAGTACTATCTACCAACAATTTGTCAGGAATTTTGCCTCCCAGCTTGAGAAATTGCACTGAATTAGCTAGTCTTGATCTAGGCGACAACAAATTGTCTGGAAAAATCCCACCTTGGATTGGATCAAAGATGTCATCATTACTGATCTTGCGTTTGAGAAACAATTCCTTCACAGGAACTATTCCTTCTCAGATATGCAACCTCTCTGTTCTTCACATATTGGACGTTTCGAAAAACAACCTGTCGGGAGAAATTCCTGCCTGCGTCGGAAATCTCACCGGCTTCAAAACAGAGTTCACATCGGAGCACACCGCGCTGTACCAGGGGCGGCTGCAGGTGGTGGCGAAAGGGAGGTTACTACAGTACGACTCGATTTTGTATCTCGTCAACAGCGTGGACCTGTCGAGAAACAGTTTTTCCGGGGCAATTCCGGCGGAAATCACGACGCTTTTCAGGCTGGGGACGTTGAATTTGTCGACGAATCAATTGACGGGAGAAATTCCAGCGACAATTGGTAGATTCGAGCGGATAGAAACCCTAGATCTATCGATGAACGGATTGTCGGGGCATATTCCACCGAGCATAGTTTCGTTGACTTTTCTGAATCACTTGAATCTGTCGTACAACAATCTGTCGGGCCCGATTCCGAGGGGCAATCAGTTTGAAACACTGAATGTAGATCCGACGATTTACGAAGGGAACAGTTTCCTCTGTGGATTTCCATTGCCGGCTAAATGTTACAGGCCTGAGATTGCTCCGTTTCCTGGAGTGGATGCAGGGGAAAGCGATGATGACAATGATGAACTGGAAAGGGTGTGGTTGTTTATTTCTGTTGGAATGGGGTTTTTTGTAGGATTTTGGGGATTTTGTGGGTCTTTGGTCATTAAGAAACGATGGAGGGACCTGTATTTTAATTATGTTGGTAGACTGATTAACAGGATAGTAGATTGTCGCAATTGTAGGTAACTTCCAAAACAAAATAAAAAATCATATTTCTTCTTAAAATACAAAATAGGGTAAATTACAAACACCCCATGAGGTATGGTCAATTTATAAAAAACCCCTCTTGTTTAGATAATTACATTTACCCCTCAATTATATTTTTTTCTTACACCTCCACCCTTGTGGTGTCAAATTCAACATAATCATCTATATTTGGTAGAATGTGCTCTAGTTTGTACTCGTTTTGTGCAAAAATACAGTTTATGATGCCCCACAATCTGATATATACAAGCCAAAAAACACATATTATGATCATCTTGCTTCAAAATGTACTGTTCGAATGGAATAAAACGGATATAAAAGTGATAATATTTCATATAACCTCGAAGATTCCACTAAATTTGAGGAGTTGAGGGATGGTTGTAATTATCCAAACAAGAGGGGGATTTTTGTAATTTGACCATACCTTAGGGGTGGTTGTAATTTACCCTAAAAAATAATATAATAATTTTGAAGTAATAGAGGATTAAATTGAACAAATTTAGAATTTTGTGTGCTAAAGAGATACTCGTCGCATTTTACTGATACTGGTTTGTAAATAGATAAACTGGTGATGCGACTTTTCACCCGAAGAAGATAATTCCCATCGAAACACATTTATCCCAAACCTTCCCGCCACCAGCAGCAGCAGCTTGGCCATAGCTCAAACTCATGGCCGCCGCCGTATGCCTCATCTCCCTTCCATCACGTGCCGCACCACCCTCCTCCGTTACTTTCATCACGTGCTCCACCACTTCCCCTTCCACAATTTCCACCATTCCACCGCCGCCGCCGGCACCACTATTGCTCGTTCAAGAGCCGAAGACGACAAGCCCTATCTCCCCTTCTTCATGCGCTCTTAACTGCCGTCACTTCCAATCGTAGGTCCAGTCTTATTCTATTCTTCCATTCGGCTTCATTGTGTTTTCTAATTCTTTGTTTGAATTTGCAGCTGCTCCGGTTGTACTCACGAGTACAACCTTCACCACCCTCCCATTCTCGCCGACGTGAATAAATTCTTCAAGAAAATTGGTGTTTCTAACTTCACATTCGATAGTTGTAGACTCGTAATTTCATACAACACCTCTGACACTTGTTTGTTTCGTCCATCAATTTCAGCTTTCTAGCTTCTACAATTATATTTTTTAGGGTTTTTTTTGTCTCTTTAAATTGGCAGTGGGGATGGAGATGTCGAGCAAAGCTTGCGGTTCGCGGTTCATCTATGAAACCATTAATTGGGCTTTATGAAGAGGGCACTCATAATGCAGTTGATATTCCTGAGTGCCAAGGTCTCAAATTCACCTATTAAATACTTATATTATTATTTTTGTTTTTTTGGGTGGGGGTGTCGTTGGGGGGCTGTTTATATAGAGAGATACAGCTATCATCTTTGTATTGTAACGAGTCTTCGTTGTGTAGCTCATCATCCACGCATTAATGAGGCTGTTGACTTACTAAGACAAGGTGACTTCTCGATGTTTTATTTCATGTTCCTTTTAATTTTTTGCGAAGATTGTTTCCAATGATGCTCTTTTATACTTTCTTTTGTTATTTTAGCGATAGTGGAACTGAATATTGAACCGTATGATGAAGACAACGGGACGGGTGAACTAAGATATGTTCAGGTAATGGATCATGAATGTATTGATTCCATACTTACCTATTTGTGTGGTGGTTATCTAATTTGCTAACCAAATATGCGCGGATTTCCCCTTGAAGGAGTAAATGGAAGACGTTTATAATGATACTAATTTTCTTCTTGTGTCGACAAATTTCACTTGTAGATGGCTGTTACGACGTACAGTACATCTCTCCCTTCGGCAGAAAGATACAAAAATGGTAGGTAGATATTTAATTATGTATCGAGTATCGCGGACAGTTTGACTCTTCAGATAAAAAAATACATGAATGATTACAGGTAAAGTGCAGGTTGCTTTGGTTTGGAATTCGAGAAGTGAGAGCTCACCCAGTTTCGAAAAATTAAATGCTCTGTCCAATGTAAGATAACTGTGGTTGTTTTACTGGCATTCGTTGGTGTATATGCCTCATACGAGTGTTGATCAAATTCTATGTTGTAGTATTTGTGGAATAAAGGGGGGCCAAGGAGAGACGTGCATTTGATACATTCTATTTGGGCCAACTTTCAGACATCAATGAGTAATGTAAGTGTCATTTTGATCCTGCAGAACATCTTTGAGGGGCAGTTATTTTATACGAGACCAAGGAAAAGTTAGGTTGATATCCAAATTATCTAGTGCATAGCCTTATTTTTCGTTGCTTCATAACACAGGTTATTTTCGGGAACAGATGGAGACATCTTATTGGAGAGAGAGACTTCTGGGAGCATGTTGGTGGAATTGATGTTTCTATGGTCCCTTCAAGTTTCGGGCAAGCAAATACACGGGTTAGTATTTGGAGTAAAAACTTATCCGACTTATTCGTATGTGGAAAATCAATGGTGTCAAAAGCGTTTATTCTTGCTTGATCACATTTTCTTTGTACTGCTTAGTATCTATTGTGGATGGCATTTGAACTTTAAACTCAAGCCACAAATTCTTCGATTGATTTTGTGGGCAGGCTTTTGATTCTCTGCTCCAGAAACTACAAAAGTGTGTGCCTTATGGTTCATCAGTAGTTGATCTCTATGCTGGTGCCGGTGTGATTGGTTTATCTTTGGCTGCCACAAGGAAATGCAGGTGGGAGAAGTGATGATTTTAGGTTTTAAGTCTCATTATCTAATCACGAGTTAGCACTGGAAAATTTAATGGTATTTATAGGTCAGTTAAATGCGTGGAGGTGAATAAAGAAGCCAAGTATTCTTTTGAAAAGACAGCTTCTCGACTACCAACCACCGTAGACTGCTGCATCAGCTGGCATCAAGCAGACACTTCAAAGGTTAATAGTGTATTTCATTCATAGTCTAATATTGGCAAATACGATGAATCGAGAGGATTTGTTTTTTTAGAACTCTTGCAGTAAACTGAAACTGGTATTTCTGACAGCATATGGATATGTTTATCATAATCTGCTAACTTGTGAGAAACTGTCAGGAACCACTCTCTTGGTTGATTGGATCTGATGTTGTTGTGGTTGATCCTCCAAGGAAAGGGCTAGACCCGTCTCTGCTCACTGCATTACAGTCTCTTTCATTCACCAAGATAAAACATAATCCACCTGAAAGGTATTCTAAGCTTTGTATTCTGAGTCAGTAATTTCTTATGGTTCGTGAAATTGGAAGTCTTATGGTTATGCATTCATTCTTTTGGTTTTTTATTTTAGTACCAAGAGAAATGTCCAAAATGAGAAAAGACCATGGATTCTTCGAGGAGACACTTCAGTGCAGATCAATAAGGAAATGGGACAAGGTGAAAGTCAGTCGTCACTGCCACAAACTCTGATATACATAAGCTGCGGATGGGAAAGTTTCAAAGAGGTACGTTTGGCCTTTATAGGTACCCAAAGTTTAAAATATATTTGTTTTTCAACTTTCGCCTTAACACCTTTACTTTTCCGCTTTGCCGAATTGTCATTTTCATTCTAAGCTTATAATCCTGGGATTACGTACAGGACTGCATGTCCCTGCTTTCTCGTAAGGCATGGCGTTTGGAGAAAGTCCATGGTTTTAATTTTTTTCCTGGAACACAGAGGTTCTCTCTCTCTCTCTCTCTCTCTCTCTCTCTCTCTCTCTCTCTCTCTCTCTCTCTCTCTCTCTCTCTCTCTCTCTCTCTCCCTCTCTCTCTCTCACACACACACACACACACACACATACATATATATCTTCTCCCTCCTGAATCATTGAGTGACTAATCAAACTTTGATGTCCTTACTCATGCAGTATTGAGATCCTGGCTGTGTTCAAAAGAGGCTCTGGAGGGAACATAAAGAAAAAGAAATCTGGGAAAAAGAAGAAACCCGCTCGAGGCCCACTTGCTGTAATTGAGGACAACCTTTTTGAAGAATCGCTTTTCGATAATATTGAAAATTTGGAATGAAGAAAATAATTTCAGTTTTCTATTTTACATACATGCCTTCGCCATAGAACAATATTGTACATAGCGAATTCCTCAAATAGATGAGTTGAATTCTGAACTTTCTGTAAAAGTGTATGGTGACAAACAGCCTACACACATTTGGATATTATGTACTTTTGAATCTGGTAGAAGAATGTATTGTTCGATAAATATAGGAAAATTCCAAAGAAGAATGTGATTATTTTTCTGGATATTTATTAACGACCCTTTTTACTTGCATTGGACTTTTCCAGTTGAGGGAAGGCACACAAAATGTTGTGGGCTATCAAGTCTTGCCTTGTCAAAATTCCAACCACTGGAGCCACCTATTTAAAAGGTCAGAAAATAAAGGTTAGACATAGTTTCATCTTCAGCAATATAACTTGTTTCTTCGATTAAGTTTGCAGTTGAGTAAGTATTTTGTATCATTTGAAGTGAAGAAAACATAAGATTTGTGCATTGAAGAAGAATGGCATCTTAAACTTACCCCAGATGCTTGATATTTGGGCAGAATGAGCATATGTCGGAGCCCCACTTCTCTAAAGAGCACCATCGCCTTCGCTACGGACATGCTTTCGATCACACTGTATGGAGTTGTATTGATCAATGGATATAAATCTACAAACATCTCCATTTCATCATCACTCACTATCACATCTTCAATCTTGCCTCCCCTTTCAGCCAAATCAGCGGAAGTAAATATCTCTCTCACCTCCTCTGCCTTTGTTCTTCGTCTTTCTCGCAGGAACCACTTCTTCTTCAGGGCTAAGATCAGATGAGCTCTCAGAACCAGCCCATGAAGTTCATTTGGTGGGACCACTCCAGCATCCACAACTGGGAAACCATTGTGTGTGGTGTTCCTCAGGACATCCACTATACGACCCACTTTCTCGATTCCTTCAATTGTAACAACTGCTGACTTGGCATCAGCAAGCTCGCCAACTGTGATATTCCTCATCCACGGCTCGGGATGTGCATCCAAGAAAGGTAGTCCTTTTAGTTCCAGAATTGTATCGTAGATGCTCGGGTTGAAGCAGTCTCCTACCGTTTTAGCTATTAGAAGAACTAGCATTGTTATGGGTAGCAAAAGAAGGTTGTTTGTAAGCTCGAGAAATATGACGCATAGTGAAACTGTCATTCTCATGGAACCAGCCATAAGTGCGGCTGCTCCAAGAACGGCATATAGGCCCTGATCGAGTTTTGTGTATGATCCCATGGCAATACCGAGAATACGTCCATAAGCTGAGCCCATGAGAATGATGGGAAGAAAGAGGCCCGATGGGACTGCAATCCCGAAGGTGACTAGCGCTAATACACAATATAGTGCGAAGTAGATAGATAGAGAGAGAATATGGAATTCTGTTGGAGTGTTTATGGAGAAAATGTGTCTAACAGCATTGTCATTCGTGGTGAGGAGAAGTGTGGCCAGGTCGTTGTATTGGCCGTTTGGACAGTTGAACTGTCTGAAATTTCCCTCTCGTCCGGTTGTGGGACAGGAAGCTTCTAAAAGGGATTTGTCGCAAGGTTTGCACTTTGCTAAGAAAGGAAGTCCGAAAATGCATATAGAAGTGAAGATGGATACACTCAGGCTGAGAAGAAGTTTATGCAATTTGCCCTTCCTGCAAAGATAAGTTGATAATTCAGAAACCAAATTAAAAGTCGGAGACTTCTTATCGAAAAGGATGATGCTTACTGATTTATGACATTGTAGACTTTGAGAATCTTGTGGAGAAAATGGTTATATAGGCTTCCCAAAACGCCGCCAATCACTCCTATCACAACCACAGGGATAATATCCACCGCGTGATAACTCACAGAAACACCGCTGACATCAAACATGATCAAGCCTCCTTTGCCGAATAATCCACAGTTTCCGGATTTGCAGAACTCCATAAATGCCCTTAGCACTACAACCACGACTGCTGTGCTGAAGAAAGTTCTCCACAGAAGAGCACTTCTCCACCACGTCGCCACCTCCTCAAGAGCGAAGAGGACCCCACCGACCGGTGATCGAAAAGCAGCACATACCCCGGAAGACGAGCCACAGGTGATTAAATCTCTCCGGTCTCTGTCGTTGTTGAAGTATCTTAGCCATCGCCATTTGATTCGGTACTTGTCGGGCCCACCTTGACCTAATAGGGCTGCGACGCAGCAACCGATGTGAACTAGAGGCCCTTCTTTTCCGAGATCTAGCCCTGCAGAAACAGCTCCTATGCTTCCAAAGATCTGTGATAGTGATAGCAGATGCACAAACATCTCAGCCAATAATACGGTATCTAAGTTCAACTTTTAGCATACTAGTGAAAATATTCCTTTCATGGATGCCACATGATAAAATTTACAATCTGATGCTATAAGTGAACATATATTTCGCTAAATTGATAGATATACGATTGCTTTGTCATTTTTTAATCGATTATAACACCAAAAAAATTGAAAATATGAGATGCTAATATTACTCTACGAATAAAAAAGGTACCTTCACAATCAACTCTGGCGCACCAAACATGTTGGGGGTGTCAATTCCATTAAGATAAGCTTTTATTTCAGGAATTCCGGGACCAGCAGCAGTGGGTGCAAAACAAACACACAGAACGGAAGCTACCAGCGTTAGAAGAAAGTTTGCTCCGGCCAAATATACGAATCCTGCTAAATATCTGCATCCATCAAAATCAACGCATATGTCAAATTACAAGTTGGATCATCGACAACTGCTATTGGTTACATACAGGTAATATCATTAAGTAACAGTACCTTTTCTGCTCTATATATTTCGCCACGACCAGAAGTTTGTATCCTGCAATATTTTCAACCGCAAGATTGATGAGAGTGGCTATCAATCCAGTTAGGAGGCCCACAAGGAAAGCCAACAACCATTTCAAGAAGATATACTGCAGTACTTGCACTTTTGATCTGCTTCTCCAGTCTTGCTTGAATAGATCATTTTCGTTTATCCTACATTCAATTTTTAGAATCGTCAACTAATTATACAAGACTAGTAAAAAGCAAAAGAAGAGAATTACTTACGAAGTTGCACTTACTCGTAGTCCAAGCTCTCTATATGAGAAACCTTTCCTCCAACTATGGCGAGTTGATTCGAAGAAAGCGTTCGATTTACTTTGAGCAGAGGTTCATGGAGTGTGTTGCTTTCAGGGTCGTGTTCTTGTTCATCTTGTCGTTGTGTCTGTATATTAGCTTCTGCTGCTACTTGTGTTTGTTCTAACTTGTTGAAATCCTCCATGATAGGTGAGTGGGTGAAGCGGAGCTTCTCAGATAAGCTGAGTCAGTTCTCAGTTTGAAGATGTAATAGAAAAAAGGTGAGTTGTTCCCCTGAGTTTGGAATAATAGACATGTGCATCTAGGTGATACATAAGGACAAAGCTTTGTTGGAAAGTTGTCCCATATGAACAGTATAAATTTTGGGACATATTAAAATAGCAATGATTAGAGTCTAATTATGGAGTTTGGGGGTACATAATTAAGTGAGTTCTGACTCTGAGTATAAATATATATTTGCATTAATAAGATAGAGAAAACAGAACAATGTGGATAACCATAGATCGTATGGTAGTACCTAATGCAAGCAAAAATATCTATTGGGTTGAAAGCTACAAATAATTTATTATTGTATAGATGCAATAATTTGATTATTGTTTGCAATGCTGACGTGTGCTCTCCAATCAAGTTGGGATTATTACATTCATCAATGATCAATGATGAATGGGGTGATGATTGAGAAATTTTACTGATACTAGTAGACCTGAAATTTTTTATATTATTAGATTTGTATATATTTGTTTATATAGATAAAGAGTTGCTTGTAAAGGGAGTTGAATGAATTAGTTGGAGCAAGGAAAACAAATGTCTTAAGTACTTACTGGAAGAACATTTTTTTGTACAAGTGGTGGTATTATTATTTGATTAATCCCCTAGTAAATATTATTAGATTATTAAGTAACGTGATTATTAAGTAACCATTGCTGCAACTTGTGTAATATATATCCTGAACAGAACAAATTCCAAGTGGTGGGAGGAACAGGTTGATCTAACATTGCAAGTAAATAATTTATGTGTGTTTCAAATGCCAATGATTAAGCAGTAGCAGTAATATATAGATTTAAGAATCAATTTCACTTTCAAAGTGGGCCCACAAATTTTTTAACAAAGAATTATGTAGTAGGCTCCATCCATGTTAAGCTATGATAAGATGCCAAAGCCTCTTTAATAGCTTCTCAAATATGGGCATCTTCTTTTGTTTTATTAATTTTAGCCCCCTCGTCTTTACAGTACACCATAGTTCCATCCTTTTACTCTGAAAATCACGCATTTGTGATCCTTGTCAATGGGTGAAATTGATAAATTATAAAACGAGAGGGATGAAAATACGATGCAATATATATTTGAAGGACTATTATTAGATTAGAAGAATATAAATGAGCCGCGGATAAACTACAACAATTCCATAGTCAAAGGTCTCCTTCACCAATCAATTGATGATTGATGAATATTTTATTTTAAAAGTGGCAATCAATCGGCATTTAGACAATGAATAATTATTTTGAATTGAATTTGATTATATGGAGAATCTTTTTACTTAATTCCGCAAAAAAAAAAAAAAATGAAATAAAAAAGAATCTCCCACATTGAAAAAAGTTGGTTAGAATTAAATTTGGGGTTGTGTTTTAGAGCCATACATTTGGGGGAAAAGATCAAAGTGTGGAAGAAGGGTGGGCACCAAAAACTAATGGTCATATGATATATGATATGATATGTATGATGTTACCAATTACGGTGTCGCGTTGCGCCAAATCTGATAAGGCTGTATTTTTGTTGTCATTGCCAACTCATATTTTTATTTTGATTTTGATTTTGATTTTGATTTTTCCTGAAAAGAAAAAAAGAAAAAAAGAAAAAGGCAAAAAAGGTTTTATTTACAATTTGAACTTGCTTGTTGGGCCATTTGTTTCTATAATGGGCCCAATAACTAATATTTGAAGGTCCACTTGTTAATGGACTTCGAGCAGACCCCCCATTAACAAATGTTTACTCTTCTCTACATTAATTAATTAATTAATTAAATTAATTGCATGTTAATATCTAGTTCATAATCCAATAAAGTTATTGACTCACTAATATAAATATATATATAATGCGTCGTAGTGGGCGGTGGTACCACAAATTGTAAGCCAATGAGAAGGGGGATTAGTGGGGGATTCAAAATTGTTTTAATTAAGGTTTGAGATTTTAGGGTTTGAGATATTAGTATAATCTTCCAAATCTGTGGGTTTAAAGCTGCCAAGTTTGGCCTTAATCCCAGGTTTTATATTAAATTAATATTTCTAATTACTACAATGCTAAGCCTACTCGACTGTGACTGTGAAATTTTTATTATAAAATGTGGAAAGCAAACCAAAATCAACGCCAAATCCCACCACCTAATCAGTGGACACGCAGCGCATAAAGTTTTTTTTTTTTTCTAAATAAATTATGTTATAGAAAATTATCATAATTACTATTAATTAATTGTTTACTTTAGTGTTTAATATATGCTAAAGTGGCAACTCCAACAGGAAAAAAAAGAAGATAAAGAGCACGGTACTATTTTGATCGAATCCACCTTAAATAACTTTTCTCCTAGAGTTTGCAAGTTGTTGATTTATTTTACACTTAAATTTCTATAAATTAATATAATCAAAAATAATGAAATTCTATTAATTTAGTGAATTATTAAATTATCGAGTTAATAATTTCATATGTTTTCATCGAGTCGGGAAAACTATTAATTTATCGAGGTTCTACTGTACGAAGATGGAGATTACCTTATGTACTCTAAATAAATATGAATTATCTTAGATAAATAAAATAATAAAAATCAAATTTTCAAATAGTAGGCAAGTGTAAAAGAGGGTGAAAGGTGTTGCTTATTAAATGTTAATTTAATCAACATTAGACCACTAATCCACCAATCATATTAATATCTAAGATTTGTTCTTTATTTTTCAAAGTAAAATCTCAACCACATCTCTACAGTCTACAATTAATCTCTAGGAGTAAAATTGATTGGTCAAAATGGAAGTATGGAGGCTTCTTCATAAACACCACTACTAGAGGCCATCTCAGGTGCATTAAAAAAGAATAAATTATTTGAATGCAAAACTTCACAGATACTTAGACCGTTAGACGTCGTTTTCTCCTATTGCGAGTTACTCCCGCCAAAATATGTGTCGCTTTGGGTTGTTGTGTACATATTAAGAAAATTAATAAATGTGCATCGATTTTAGAGAAAAATATATAGAATGATTAAAATATCCATTTTATTAATGTTGTTTCCATTAATTTTCAGTCGAGTAATGAACAATAATAAGGATAAAATTGAGAAAATAGTAATTAATGCATCATTGAAATTCTAAAGTGACAGATAATTTGAAACAAGAAAAATCCCCTAAAGCAACAGTTAGTTAAAATCTTTTATTTTGTTCATAGAAATTAGAGGGTTTAATTGCAATTAAAATGTTAGTAAAAGACATTCATCAAATTGGGTAACATAAAATTTGGACCAATTTGGCATGTCAATGCTGAAAGATAATTCGAGCTAGCTGTTGGCGGGTGCCAGTTTTAGTTAGTCGCAGGATTATAATTAATAATTATATTCCATTTGTAAAGTTAAGGAAAAAATAAAAAGAAAAAAGAAAAGGCCATTTTACAAATAAAATATTCCAAGTCCCACTCATCTCCATTGGAAATTAATTCCATGATCAGTTCTTGGAAATTTTATTCAGTCAGTCAGCACTCAGCGCCATTGAATTAAAGAAGAAACAGTCCTCTTTTCTTTTTTTTTTTTTTTTTTTTTTTTTTTTTTTTTTTTTGCCGACCCCTCTTTCTCTCAACAAATGCCCTTTAGGAAGAAAGAAAAGAAAAAAGAAAACGCCTGCTTTCCCGAATGAATACGACAATGGGATTTGATGTTTTTGAGAGAAATAATTAATTAATTAATTAATGTATTTTTTAATCGGTTGAGCAAATGGAGGGGTCCATCATTTGAGGAATCCAACCCCCTTCTTGCATTACTAAATACCTTTTTTCCCCTCTTTTCTCTGCATATGTCTCTTGATTAACTTTTGGTGTATATATAAGTAATATTTGTGTGGGTTTTTGTGTGTGTATTCATCTTTTCTCTTCTCCATTTTTAGGGTTTTGTACAGTCAACTTGCCTTCTTTGGGTTTTCTTCAGAATTTGGATCTTTTTTGTAAGTTTTTCTTCCTTAATCAGATTTCTTTGTTTGGAATCGAATCATCTGTGTGTATGTGAAGAAAGACTTGTGTTTAAAAATTATATGTATGTGTAGGGCTTGTTTAGTGCTAATTTAGTTTGAATGACAGTGGTTTATAGATTATACAATCAAGTTTCTATTGGATTGGAGGTCATATTCTTTTTTTAATAAATTAGGTGTTAATCATGAATTTGTATATGATGCTGCATGAGTTTTAATCAAGGTGCATTTTGATGTTGAGCTCAAGTTTCCCTTTCCCCCATTCTTGATTGGGTTGTTCTGTTTCTGTGTAGTAGGTTTGGATTTTGAATATATATCAAGTTCTTCTTTTTCTTTGATTTTTGATCTTCCAACTATTCCAAACTCCCAACTTGATGTTGTTGTTGAAATTATATGATATTGGTATAAGGTGTGCATATTAACCTGGGGAGGTCGTTGTCTGTATTGGATTCTTTGTTTTTCTTAGATGAAAAATCGTCGGATTTTTGGGTTCGGAAGTATTAAATCAATGCCAGAAGGAAGCAATATAGCCGAACAAGAAGAAGATGAATTAAATCAGAGTGGATCTAATTTGTCTGATAAAGAATCTCAGGATGCAGATTATTCACACATTCCTTCCCTCAGCCACGAGCTAGAAACTCTAATCTTCGCTCGATTGCCAAGATCGGAGCATTGGAAACTATGCTTTGTCAACAAGTCATGTTTGTCCCTTGTTAAAACCGGCGAACTCTACAAGATCAGACGAGACATAGGACTCAAAGAACCTTCCGTTTTCATGTTCGCCAGCGGGGAAAGCAGCTGGTGGGCCTTCGACCGCGAGTTCATGTCCTTCCGGAAGCTTCCGGTACTTCCCTCAGACTCTTGTTTCTTATCCGGAGATAAGGAATCCCTCTGTGCCGGGACCCACCTCCTCGTTTCTGGCCGAGAGATCGAAGGTCTAGTCATTTGGAGGTACGAGCTGGCGGAGAACAAATGGGGTAAGGGCCCATCAATGATCTGGCCAAGATGCTTGTTCGCGTCGGCGACTTGTGGGGCTCGTGCCTACGTAGCAGGGGGCATGGGGGCCATTTCGCGGAACGAAGTGTACGACTCGGCCGAGAGGTACGATCCTGACCGTGGGTCGTGGGACCCACTTCCGAAGATGAAGAAGAGGAGGAAATTGTGTGCCGGGTTTTATATGGATGGTAAATTCTACGTGATTGGAGGTAGAAATGAAAACGGCGAACTAACATGTGGAGAATTTTTTGATGAAACGAGGAACAGATGGGAATTGATACCGGAGATGCTGAAAGAAGATTCCGTACAGTCATCTTCGCATTCTCCTCCTCTTCTTGCAGTGGTGAAGAACGAGCTGTACTCTCTAGAAACTTCTACGAACGAGCTGAAGGTATACTTGAAGAAGACAAATACGTGGCGGGGGTTGGGACGGGTCCCGGTGAGAGCAGATAGCAATAGGGGTTGGGGAGTTGCGTTTAAGTCCTTGGGGGATGAGTTATTGCTTATTGGGGCTTCATCTGCTGGTAATTATATGGCTATTTACACGTGCTGCCCTGTGGATTGTGAGTCCGGTGAGATGGAATGGAAGCTTCTAGATGGCGGTGGTAGAAGTCGACTCAGCCATTTTATTTTGAATTGTTCGGTTATGGTAGCTTGAGGGAGGGAGCAATGACACTTTGTAATCATAAGTCACTCTACCCTCCTCTGTTTTACTCTGTATAATTCACTTTCTTGAAATGTGTCATTTTATCCTACAGTGTTATTTTCTGGTTATTAAATTCATGCTGGACAACAAATTACAATCCATAAGTTAGTTAACATGGTACTGTATTTGTGTAACATGGAAACAAGAACTTGTTATGTAATAATAAAGAGACAACATGCAATGAATGTGCATCAATTGACAATGATAAACAGAGCAAAATAACAGACACGGCGAAAACGCGAGTACATACAAAGAACAAACACTCCTATGCATATGTATCCACAGTCGCCAAATTTTCTTAGTCTGAGCTAAAATCACATGGAATATTTTGCTCTCGAAAGATTAGAGCTGCCAATGTGAACACGAACACGATGCCATGAGGTGTTGAGAATTCCTCGCAAGTTCCAAATGAATTCCACATTTTCAGGCTGGATATTTCCTGCTATATCCACCTGTGAACAAGTCATTCAACAAACGTAAACCCGAGTTTTTTTTATTACAAACAGTTGTTTACCACAAAAAAAAGAAAATGGAAATAGATGTAATGAAACATACAGCTTTGGCAACTATGTGAGTAGTGGTGTCTGTAACATCAGCCTCAGCCTCGAAAAGCACCCATGCCCATTTATCGTTTCTTTCATTGTCGTCAGAAATGTATGTAATGTCGTCTTTCTGAGATTTTGAGGCTTCTGCCCAGCTCTTGCCATTGTCTATAGATACATCTACTCTCTCTATACCTCTCCCACCTCCCGACACCGCATAACCCTTGATTAATATCTGATCATTCAAAAAATATACGTTTACGTTAGAGCGAGGTTTTAGTATACTATGATAAGTAGTATAAACATAATAAGAACATACTTACCTTTCCAGGCCGTAAATCGTTTACTTCATCCAGAGAACATATCGCACTCTGCAAGCAGTACATTGTACATTAATGAGCAATCTCAGAAGAAAATTAGCTATGTATTAAGAATGTTTTTGCTGTCTCAAATATGAAAAACGAATTGGGATAGAAATGAAGATAAAAGATTACAAGAACTATATAACGAAGCTTCGAGTGATGGCTATTCATTATTGTTACACTATAAATGGTTAAAATGAAGAAAGAGAAATACCTGAATAGGAAAATCCATAACAGGACGCCTAGTGGACCAGTCGATGTTATCCCAGTCGACTGAAGGTGGAAACATTTTGTAATCCTTTTGCATAAAGAATCCCTAAGCAAAAGAAGAACCACGCACTTCATCATATATATGGTTCACAGAATCATAAGAATAGATAGATCATAACTATTTATTTATTTAATTAATTACTTGGCATACTTGTGCAATGATGTTGATGGAGTCAAGCCATTTGACAGAACGAGCACCGATAACACCGGGGACAATCACACGTAATGGATATCCATGATCCCTGTTAAGAGTCTAAAGAGTAGAAAGCCCGGTTTATTAATAAAATATTCAAAGAAAAAAAAATAAAAAAAAAAATTGTGAAAGTGCAGTATATAATAAATAGTAAATACCTCTCCATTCATCTCATAAGCTAGCAAAACATCAGCCTCGGGGTTTGTTGCATGGCTTAACGGGATTGATGCTTTGTAAGGGCCTCCGTTCTCTTCCTGTAATAACAGTGCAATGGCTCATGCTTTAGGTAAAGAAAAACGACCTCGTCATGGGAGCGAAAGAAAGGTGCAAGAAATTTGACCTTACACTTGTCGATGCTTACAAATTCCACATGTTTTCCTCCATGTGGTGATATATGCGAGTGTTTGGAAATTCCCACGAGTTCAAGAACATCTGCTAATTTGGCCCCACTCCAAACGGCTGCAAATTAAGAACAACATGCATGGTGATACAAAATAAAACAAAAATGAAAATGAAAAAGAAAAAGAAAAATTAAGAAATTTACATACTAACCGTTTCCTAGGGCTGAAATGTCCCATCCAACTCCTTTGACCTTTCGGGTTTTGCTCATGGCGGTTCTCCTATTGCCAGCACACTGTCAATATATAACACCAAATTAAAGCTTTTGGATCAAAAGATATATTTGAAGAGAAAAAGGAAAATATATAATTTTATTCATCGGATCGAACAAAGACATGTGTGGGAGTAATTAAGGACAAGAGCTGCTTCATTAACCAAAAATACAGTAGCATCACATTTAATGAAAAATGACAACTGAAATGAACTAGACACAACCTTGTTCTTGTTCTTGGAAAATACCAATTTTACCAGTAAAACAAATGCAAATAAACCACGGGAATTAAAAAAATGAAAACATACCTGTAGAGTGGCAGTGACAGCATATTTTGGAAGCTTTCTGTTATTCAAGGAGAAAAAATAATGTTTTTTTCAAGTATTCTTCCTAGAGAAAATGATGAAATTAATTTAACAAGGCACTCACATGATGTCTTTCATGTACAACTCTTTACGATTTTCTAACAGACCGGCTACAGAAACACTGTATCTGTTCAAAAAAAAAAAAAAAACAAACTGTGTCAGAATTAGCAAAATAACACATGCATGTTCATCATATTCAAGAATTGGTGAAATATGGGACTTGTCAATGTGGTGGTCGAGTAAGGGAACAGGTCCGTGGTTGCGCTTATAGAAAAAATCAACGGGAGTAACATAAGATGAAACCAAGCAAGAACGATGTGGCTCCGCATTGAAGGGTTCCTGTCCATAACCAACATTATATTATTATCATCAAAACATTTTATTAATTTAAAAAAAAAAAAACATATTTGTGTTTGGTGGGATGATGAACCTTTGAGTTTACGAGAAGAGCAGGATGACGAGGAGGTTCTTGGGAGTAATCGGAAGGCCCCGTTAGTCCTGGCATTTTTCTTCCAACAAAAGAAAAAAAAATATAAATAAAAAAATTCAGAGAGAATATATATAGAGTTGTTGTTGTTTCATTGAGGAGCTATTTTGAGGATGACATTTAAAGGCAATGCCGCTACTATAACGACAAAAACGGTTGTATCATCTAAATTATCTGTTTTCTTTTCCAGACCACTTTTGCATAATTAATTACATAATTTTAATTGATAAAGCAGGCTGCCTAACTATGTTTAATGTAGATCAAATCCTGACTAGGTTCATCATCTTAAACCAATGATTTTGCTACTAAACCAATTAAATCTACGTTTAATGTTCCTAAGTAATCATTTGGATTTGGTTGGTTCAGGAACGTGGTTTTATAAAGTATGGGGGGCAGATTGGTAATTTCAAGTTGAGGGGAAAAATCGACCCATTTCTCCATATTTGCGACCCGTAAAAACGACCCTACTACTCCAATCGGCTAAATAAATCGACCCGTCTTCTCGGTGCTCACTGCTCAGCAACAAAATGTAAATCGATGACTGCAATTTATGTGCTTTACAATAAAATTGTTCGAAATCATTTTTTCTTTGTTTTTTTAATTTGATGTAATAATAATTGGTAAGCATACTGTACTGTAAAATAGGAGTAGAAGGCATTCGGTAAATCGGCCGCCGACGCCGGACCGGGATGGTGCAGAACGAGTAAAGGAGCCTACGCTTATCGACATCGTCAACATCAAAGTCTCTCTCTCTAGATCTCTCTCTCTTCTCCTGACTTATTTGAAGTTAATTCTTTTTTTTTTTTTTTTAATGGTTGAAAATAATAAAATGGTTGATTAATGGGGGGTTTGGTTTGGTTTATAGTTGACTGAAAGTGGAGAGAAGGAGCGGTTGATGGAACTGGTGAGGGAGAGGCTGGTGGAGTGTGGCTGGAAAGATGAAATGAGATCTCTTTGCAGGTTTTGTTTTTTTCTCTAATTCCTAATTAATCTTACTTCTGCTAATCACTCTATTCATCACACTAATTATGTTGCTCAGTAAATGAGTTTAGCTTACTGAATTATTTACTAGCTTCAATTTTTTTCATTAATTTTGATGGTACCTGAATTGAGGGGGGCATAAGCCGGAAATGTACTTTCTTTGTAATTTCATAATCTAGCATGCTGTTAAATTTATTAAATGGTATTGACTGATAGAGGAATGTAGTTTACCTACATTCTGCACATGCAAGGAATGAATGTATTAAACCATTCATGTATAATATAAACCCTTGCATAGATGGTATCGTTCTGCTTGCACCCATAATTTTCAAAGGGTAACTAATTAATTTGATTGAACTGTCTCTATGTTTAGGGCATTTGTAAAGAATAACGGCAGGGATAATGTGACTGTAGATGATCTTGTTCGTGCAATTACCCCAAAAGGCAGAGGTATGTATGACTCTTTCGCCCCAGTTATTTTGGTCATCTTTCTATATTTTTGATATTTTGGTTTCGTGGTTTTTTGTGATGCATTTCTTGAATGGTGCAGCTTCGATACCAGATTCTGTGAAAGCAGAGCTCCTGCAGAAAATCCGAACCTTTCTCGTTTCAGTTGCCCATTGATATTCAAGGCGTTACATGCTAGGTGGGGCCAAGAGAAGTCTGACAAAGAGAGCATAAATTTATTCATCCCTATGCATCTTTCGATGATCATACGTAGTTCTTTCTAGTTACAATGCCCTTCTAAGCTTAGGATATATTTATCATCACTTGAGCTTTATGTAACTTACTAATGCAATTATCATGTTTATCAGGTCAAGTTCGTGTATGATATATATTTATAAGTTAAATATCACTTGAGAATTTATATATAACTTGTGAATTGTCAAATTTTCACATTGGATTGATTGTATGTTTATACAAATACAAAATGCATTACTAGCTTCGTTCGTTGGAGTAAGTCTAATGTTGTCTGAACCGAACCGGCTATTGAACTGGACAACCATTTGGGTCATGGTTTTATAGTGTCGAATTGGTTCAATCGGGTTTTTGATTGTTTTTTATATTTCATTATTTTATTAATTTTAATGTTTTAAAAATGCTATTTTTTAATATTTTTAATCTTCCACCTATTATTTTTAATGCATTACAAATACCATTTTCTTTACATTTTTAATCATAGAGAAGCTTTAAAAATACAATTTTCTTTATATTTTTAATCATAGAGAAGCTATTTGCATCTCCAAAAAATATAGAATTTCCTCATCTATGTACCAAAATACAGATTCTGTATCTAACACATTCTACATCTAACACAATCTAACTATCCCATAGAATTTCCTCATCTATGTACCAAAATACAGATTTTGTATCTAACACATTCTACATCTAACACAATCTAACTATCCAGTACATGGTGACAAATTGTTGGATGATCACAAATGAATGAATCTACCCCTATTTATAGAACTAAACCTCCTCAATGGATAATGATCATTAAGTCCTAGAATATTCTACCAAATATATACAAAGCAAGATCCTCTAAGAATCTCAATCTATTGTTGGATGATAAAAAATGAATGAGTTTATCCCTATTTATACAACTAAGCATCCTCAATGAATAGTGGTAATCATCTTGATCTAAAGGCTACGAATTAAGTCCATGATCTTCTACCAAATATATACAAAGGAAACTAAACATCCTCAATGAATAGTGGTAATCATCTTGATCTAAAGGCTACGAATTAAGTCCATGATCTTCTACCAAATATATACAAAAGAAGATCCTCTAAGATTCTCTATATTAATGAGAGGATTCTAGAAGATCTTCTAGAATTTTCTACTCTTGGGTCTCCTTCGTCTTAGCCTTGCTTGATGCGTTTGCTTGATGGGTCAACTGTAAATCCTTAGTTCCAAGACAAAAATGGGCAGCATGTGGCATCCTGCAGAAGAGAGCACAAATTTAGTTCTTTTTATTCATCCCTATGCATCTTTCAACCATACATAGTTCTTTCTAGTAACTTATCATTGCATTATTATCTTTATCAGAATATATTTATCATCGCTTGAGCTTTACGTAATTTATTACTGCATTATTATCTTTATCAGGCCAAGATCATGTAGGATATACTTATAATTTAAGTATCACTTGAGATTTATGGAACTTACAATTGCAACAACCCTACATTGCGATTGTATCTTTATCCAAATTCAAAATGCATGACTAGCTTCATTTGACAGACAGATATACAAGAGGCACATAAAACAGCGCATCAAACAGAAATTTTTATTTTAGACTTGAGTTTGAGTGGCATATAAAACTACATGAACATTGAGAAGCTAAATGCATCTCCACATAACACAATTCAATTCCATTTTCTTCACTACAAGCCAGCCAAATCCTACTTCCATTTTCTAAGCTTGCGAGCCCATGGAAAATCTGTGAAAATCAAATGGTGCTCCACCAAAACTACAACATATCCATAATAACAAACAATTGTTTATGCTGAGCTGGAATTACGGTCAGCATCGACATTACAGACTCCAGCTTGTTCACAAAGATCTAGCAAGTCCAAGGTCTGCAATACCACAAAAGAAGTTCAAAGCAAAAAAACCTACTATAAATAATACTAAACGTAACTAACCTCAGGCATAGAGAGCTCGAGATGAAACTTGGGACCATCATAATGATGCAAGACTGGCCTAAAAGCATCTTCCTCCAGAGGTTTGCATAGCTTCCTGACACGAGTTCTTACCTAATTGAGATATAACACGTAGCCAGTCAGTTATTGAGGTGAGAAAATACAAGTGATGATTATAGTTAGTAAAATGAAATTTTACCTGAGGAGGAAACCTTGATTCGCCTTTGCACTTTTTATCTTCCCAAGCAGTAGGATCGATGTTGGAACCCCCAAAACTTGTTGACGGTGTGTCCAAATTGAATGTAAAAACAATTTATAAAGAGTTCAGACACAAGAACGATGATACTAGTCATAGCTCAAGTAGAAGCTAATTTATCCACATAATCAAAAAAATTCCATGCTTATTCATCAAAAGGAAGGATTTCAACTCCCAAAGAGTGCTTCTTAATGTAAAAAGCTCATAAAATCTCATTTGTGTCTAATGAATACGCAATTAGACCCACTATGCACAAGTAAAATGCACATCGACATTGACTCTGCTATGGGAGTAATTACGTTGAAAATAACAAAAGAAACATACCTCAAAAATACCATGCAACTGATGAGTGGTGTAATTATAGAGGAACAGAGGTAAACCAGGTATTATTGCCCTCACATAATCTCTATATCACGGTGGTAGACCTACAAAAGAAAATGCAGTGGTAAAATGCTATTATTGCAGACCATCCTCGAAAGGCAAGGATTAATAACTTTTAAATATATAATCCATGGCATTCGACAATTCAAGGCCTACATCTCTAAATAAATAAATACGAGTATTTAGAATAGAAGAAATTGATATAATTAGCAAAAAGTTGTCTCTTCAAATCCTCGTGCATTGTATCATTGTTGCAGACAAAGATATATCCACCAAGAACCTCATCCCTAGGAAGCAGGCAAGGTCTTAAACCTTTTAACAACTGCATTTGTACTGTCCTCCTTGTTAGTAATGTTGTTGTGGATGATACCGCTATGCTTGCTTCCATCTAAAATTCCCATAGAATTATTGACAATTGGATTTTGATAAACTGGATTTATATTGGAACCACCACTATTCATGGAGGAACTTTTATTATTATTTACATTCTCATTCAACTTGGAATCCAAGTTCAACTTGTCTTGTTGAAATCCGAAATTATTCATTTGTCTCAATTGAGATGAACCGGGATCAAGATTGAAGCTAGAGCCTTAGCCTTTGACCTTGTCTGCTCAGTAGCGACCAACCATTTCTGATCCTCCGATCGGAGCTCATCACCAACTGCCAAAAGTTGTGAATACTATCCATAGTGCTAAAACTACAAACAGAGACGTAACTGCATATTTTATCATATATATCTATTACAACTTCTGGACATTTCATTTTGATTCGTCCGAATATATTGGTGGATCTTTTAGATCCGTATATGTTGATGGATTTCTTGGATTCTGCAAATAAGAACACAAAAAAGGAAAACCGGGCTGAGGCCGGAGTTAGCACTCCGACGATCAAGTCAGTACGGCTTTGATTTAGGAAAAAAGAATAATTATATGTTTTCTTTATGTTTTTTAAAAAAAGTAGTAGTGTCCTTTAAGGGAATTAATCTCTTGCTATTTATAGAGAACTTTTGAGAACGGATTTCAAATACGGACTCCAATTCCATTTTAACTGTCATTTCAGGGATGTTTCAGACTTTTCGAGATTATTAAATTAAACTTACCTGTCTTCTCGGTGAACAGTGTTATGAACAGTGTTGTGAGCTGCTTATTCCCCAGACTATATATTCTCTGAACGCTTTTGACATTTGAGAGGGGATATTAAATGCAAGATAATTATGTCGGGCATCATATAGATCATTATCTTATAACTCTCGCCTATGTCCTCTCGCTACTGAGAGGGTCTTCCCTCTCGCGCCCACGGTCGGCCTTTGATTAGGCTTCCTAGCTAGACCCAGAATATTTGATTTATCAAATCTAGTCTGTATATTCTCTGCGGTTCCTGACATTTGAGTAGACACGCATTAAATGTAAGTCGGCGATGTTACTCCCTTTTTCAGATAATATTCCTTGTTCCCATCCTTTCATTTCGGCGACCGCGAACTTCTTCCCCTCTCGCCCTGGAGTGGACTCTCGCGAGCTTCCCATTATTCGGCCTTTATTGGGCCTTCTTTCAATGGGCCGAAACAGTTACTTTTTACCGAATCAACTAGCCCCCTACTCGCAAGGACCAAGTTGAAGTCCTTCGCGAGTAAATTTTACTACATATATACGTTTCCTCTTTTTTTTTTTTTTTTTTTTTTTTTTTTTTTTTATATATATATTTTTTTTTGTGTCGATTACGCTTCCCGAAGTCGCGACTGTTCGCTCACTGGGAGCCGTCTTTTCGCCTTAAAGGCGACGTATGGGCTGCCCTAGATAACTGTGCAGCCGTCGCTTCATGTCGCCGCCTCCCTCTATAAATATCACTCATCTTCCTCATTCTTCCACTTTTCTGCCATTTCTTCCTTTCTCCGGCGTCTGCTCCTTCTTCCTCCGGCGATTATTCCGGCCTTCCCTTTTTCCTCAGGTACACCATACTCCTTTTTGTTGTTTTATCTTACTCTTTTCCTCCCATATCTATGGCTTCTTCTTCTTCTTCATCCGGAGAGGCCCCTCCTCCGTCTTCCACGGTCGGCCCTTCACGCGCCGCCGTAGCCCCTCCTCCGCCTTCCACGGTTGGCCCCTCACGCGCCGTCGTGTCGAAGAAAAAGAAGAAAACCGTGCTTTCCAAAGTGCGTGGTAAACCTTCCTCTCGCAAGGCGAGGGAGGCGGAAGGATCTGTTCCTCCCTTGTCACAAGGTCGCGGGATCATACGCGAACCTAAATCGAGAGAGCCTACTATACACATTCCCTCCGTCCCTCTTAAATCCATCCTCACTGCCGATGACATAGCCGACCTTCTCGTTCGACAAGGTTTGGATGTGTTTTATGACATAGCCCTTCCGGATCCTACCCAAGACTCCCTACATCCCCCTCTCGGCTTTAGTACTTGGTACTTAGATCAATTTCTTGCGGGCTTATCCCTTCCCATCCATCCCTTCTTTTTTGCGGTGGCAGATAAATACAAAGTCCCCCTTAACCAATTTCTCCCCAATTCTATCAAATTTATGTCCGCTTTTTTTATGATTTGTCTCGAAGCTGGCCTCAATCCGACCGGTGATCTTTTTCACTCAGCATTTGTTATAAACCACTCCCCCTCAGGTTTTTTCCAT